TGACGGATTATTTCAAAGGTTGGGATGTTGATGCACAGTCCTTTCTTCTCTCTTTTCTTGCTGCACTTCTTTACCTTTTTGCCCTTTTTGCCCTTCCTTTTTCTCTTCTCAACCTCAAGTAGCTCTTCACCATAGAACGTTTCTACTTTGCCATCTGACCACACTTTCTCTAGCCAGGGACCACAGTAAATAGCGGGTTTCCCTAAGAAGGAAGCTCCTACACTGCCACTCTCGTGTACAGAAATGTCAGCGGCGAAGTTGATCTCCCCTCTATCTCCAGCGTTGACGTTCCCGAAATCTCCGACGTGTCGCTCAACATCGATAGAGGTTATGTCACCGTGGGTGGTGCTCAGAGGGTTGAAGTGACCTCCAGTACTTTCTTTTCCACAGCTGTTCCCTACAACTGCGTTGGTGTGGATGTGGAACCCGTGGGGCCCTTTAACGATGTCCTCTGGCTCCCCGTCTATGTTAAGTCTGATGGATTGTGACATCACGCCGTCACTCTCAAACACGACTTTCCCAACTTCAATATCTGTTCCATGAAGCTTCATGGTACAGCTTGCTTTGCGTGGACCACCAGCAAAGATGGGTTGAAATGCTGCTAATAGCAACAAACAGATGAGCATGATTTCCTCGGGATTCTAATGTCAAGATAACAAGACTACTATTCCTCCGCTGTTGATAACTGAAATAAGAGTAATGATTAAATCGATGAACAGGTCCTTAAATATATCCTCATGAAAAGTTGAGAACTGTCCCGTTACAACATGGAGTTTTATTATCTTAATTTAATAATATTAATATCCGTATTAAATTGTCAAACTATCGTTATAAAGTATAAAGTATAAATACATTAAAATATAATGAATAAATAAATGTAATATAATGTGTGCCTCACATACTGAATCCCTACAAGTGCCCCCCCCCCCTACAAGTGCCCCCCCCCCCCCTACAAGTGCACCCCTCCGTACAAGTACAAGATCAGGAAAGCAAGTGATAAACTTAACACCGTGCTGGCATTTTCCCGAATTTTAGGTAATTTTTTGCGAAAAAATATTTGGGATTACAAAATGCTTCCTTCCTTTCGGGGAAAAAAGAAGACCTGACCTTTTTAGCGACGGGAGCGGAGGGGGGGGGGAGGGGCACATAGGTACGTTTCGTCAGTGACAAAGTATTGAATCATTACAGCCAACTATTATACAAGAAACATATTATACAAGAAACATTCTTTCCGAAGTTCTGTTCGTCTGGCTATATACAAAGAATCAAATGTTTTCAAATGTCTGTTCTGTACGCTATTAGAGGCTCCACAGCGTTTGGACTCAATAATACCGTAGGTGGTGGAGAGAGAAGAGATGTGTTTGGAGTTGGGTGGTGAGGAGATTCCCAATGTGTCAGAGAATCCGATCAATTTCCTGGGGAGGTGGAAGGAAATGACGAGTCAGTCATTGAATAAACAAAGGTCCACCTGAACACTTTTCTTCGGAGACTCGATGAAAGTTCCCTTACTGGGCTCCAGAAGTGCTGGGATATCAGTACATGGTCCTTCCAAAACTGAAGTGGCCTCTTGCCATCTATGATATTCCGATCACAACAGTTACCAGATTGGTACAGAATACCAATAGTTTCCTCAGAAAGTGGTTAGGGGTGGGGCACACTCTTAGTGGTCTCTGTCTGTTAAGGCAATCATCAAGTATATCAAGTGTGGACTTACCGGTGAGCAGCTTGAAAGATACATGGAAGGTAGAGAAGTGTCGACTGTTGCAATCTTATCAGACATCTAAGGATGGCCTGATTAAAGCAGTCCAGCCCCAAGTTCGTTTTGGTACAGTTCGGAGGCCTGAGACAGAACTGGAAGAGGCTAAAAGAATATTTGGTCTGTGAATCGGTGCGAGGGGTGGTGCAACCGCAAAGAAGGGCGGGCATCGGTTTTGGTGTCTGGAAAAAACATTTGGAGAGGATGTATGAGCGGGAGAGAAAGAAGGAGGTTATACTGAGAGTGAAGGAGAACATAAAAAAAGAGAGGAAGTGGGTTCTCTGGAGATGCAGAGCAGGTGGGGTGAGTGGAGAGAGCTCGTAATGAAGACGGATTTGAGCTGGCATACACCTTTTAAGTATGGTGACTCATTTATTGGGTTCATGCTAAGTGCTGTGTACAGCATTAGGGGTCCCTCAACTTACTGTATACATTATATATTCGTCCTCAGTCCTCATCAATAAGTGTCTTGGTCAGTGTCCTGGCCGTTAAAAGGTACAATTAGAGGATTATTCGGACTGGAAACTTGACAAACAAACCTCCAGACCTCAAGGTTTCATGTGGCCATTTTAACTTTGTCAAATACAAAATATCATATTATCATGGTCCAACAACACTAATATTATATTAAATAGGACGTATGCTCTACACTTGGTGTATTTAGAGTGGTACCTGACAGTTTGCCTGGTACCTGACAGTGGTACCTGACAGTTTGCCTGGTACCTGACAGTTTGCCTGGTACCTGACAGTGGTACCTGACAGTTTGCCTGGTACCTGACAGTTTGCCTGGTACCTGACAGCTGACAGGTTGCCTGGTACCTGACAGTTTGCCTGGTACCTGACAGTGGTACCTGACAGTTTGCCTGGTACCTGACAGTTTGCCTGGTACCTGACAGTGGTACCTGACAGTTTGCCTGGTACCTGACAGTGGTACCTGACAGTTTGCCTGGTACCTGACAGTTTGCCTGGTACCTGACAGTTTGCCTGGTAGCTGACAGTTTGCCTGGTACCTGACAGTAGGACTGTGCGACAGCCTAGCGCTCTCACTGAATGAAAATATGAGAACAGATGTAGTCTACTTTGATTTTGCCAAAGCATTTGACTCGGTTAACCATGATCTTATATTATTTAAGCTAAAGAGCAAATTTGGTATTGATGGGAGGCTACTGAAATTCATCACTGATTATCTAAGAGACAGGCAACAACAGGTCTTGATAAGTGGCAAGTTTTCTTCTATGAGAAACGCCCAGTCTGGTGTACCTCAAGGGTCAATTTTGGGACCATTGCTGTTCATTATGTTCATTGATGATATATCAGTGGGGATTTCACCAGGCACACAACTGTCACTGTATGCCGATGATACTAAAATTTGGCGTAAGATTGTTTCGGAGTCTGATATCCTGCGACTGCAGAAGGACATTGATTATCTCCATGACTGGTCACTTTCTAATAAAATGAGATTTCATCCCGACAAATGTAAGGTCCTCACCGTCGCAGGAAGGATATCCGAAACAGTTTCCCTCCTTAGTGTCCTACCACTCTTTAACTTTGTATACTCCATGGGAAGAATCACACTTGACTATATTGATCATGAAAAGGATCTGGGTGTAATTGTGACATCAAATCTCGATTGGAAAGATCAGTGCTCCAAAGTCCTTTCTAAGGCAAACCAAAAATTAGGCATGGCGAGAAGAAATTGCTATTTTGTCCAAGACGTAAATCGTCGTAGAGTACTGTATCTCACTTTAGTGAGGAGCCTATTTGAGCATTGCTCGGTTATATGGAGACCAGTCACAAAATCCCAGATAAGCAAGCTGGAGGGCCTCCAAAAGCGTGCTATTAAGTGGATTCTTCACGAGGAGTATATGAGTTATCCACCATCAACATACATTCAAAAATGCAGACAGCTGAAGATTATGCCGATCGAAGACCGCTTTGACTTCTTGGATCTCATCTTCTTCTTTAAAATTGTGAAGCAACATATACCTGTCACTTTACCCTCATATTTGCAACCATTTCAAGGCCACTCAAGGCTCAGAAATAGTCACATGGACTCTCTATGTTTTGTAAGCTCTATCTCACCTCGAGCAAGCTCCAACGCTTTTGCCAAGAATTTCTTCTATAGGACCCACACTAAGTGGAATCACATTCCTCTAGATATCCGTGAGATAGAGAGTATCACTGATTTTAAAAGTAAACTTTCCACTTACATGTGGGGGAAAATTATCCCGGTGGATTCGGACTCTGAACTTGACTATTCAATAGAAACAAATCCGTAAAATAGTTTATTCAAGATTATCTATTCTTGCTGTCTGCATTCACATATTTCTCAATTTCATCTCACAGCACAATATTTTATGAATTGATTGAATGGGTGTGTGATTTTGTTTAAAGTAACTTATTACAATTTTATAAGGGCCCATGCTTGTGCAGGAGCTGCATTTGCACTCAATATCTGTGTTTTGGTGACCCTCAGGTCCTTTGGTTACATACATTTTGTCCGAGACAATTTCAACTTTGACAATCCATGCTTAGAGGACAATATTATATTTAACTAATTCATTGTGTAAACTTGTATGTAATTGACTGATTTGAAAGATTTCAATAAAAAAAAGTGGTACCTGACAGTTTGCCTGGTACCTGACAGTTTGCCTGGTACCTGACAGTTTGCCTGGTACCTGACAGTTTGCCTGGTACCTGACAGTTTGCCTGGTACCTGACAATTTGCCTGGTACCTGACAGTTTGCCTGGTACCTGACAGTTTGCCTGGTACCTGACAGTTTGCCTGGTACCTGACAGTTTGCCTGGTACCTGACAGTTTGCCTGGTACCTGACAGTTTGCCTGGTACCTGACAGTTTGCCTGGTACCTGACAGTTTGCCTAGTACCTGACAGTTTGCCTGGTACCTGACAGTTTGCCTGGTACCTGACAGTTTGCCTGGTACCTGACAGTTTGCCTGGTACCTGACAGTTTGCCTGGTACCTGACAGTTTGCCTGGTACCTGACAGTTTGCCTGGTACCTGACAGTGGTACCTGACAGTTTGCCTGGTACCTGACAGTTTGCCTGGTACCTGACAGTGGTACCTGACAGTTTGCCTGGTACCTGACAGTTTGCCTGGTACCTGACAGTTTGCCTGGTACCTGACAGTGGTACCTAACAGTTTGCCTGGTACCTGACAGTTTGCCTGGTACCTGATAGTTTGCCTGGTACCTGACAGTGGTACCTGACAGTTTGCCCTTTCAGGAAGGAACGTTAGTGGATCTGAGGAGTATAATGGTGCCTAGTATGAGTCTACTTACAGCGCACTTTGACGGAACTGTTAACTTGTTCACTTTCGAGATGGGTGTTGAGGACATCACCTTCACTGATATTGGGAACCTGGTGCACGAGGTCCGCTGTTCTGGACACAGGTCTGTAGCACACTTTCTATTGTGAAGTGAAGTGAATTGAAGTGAAATGAAGTGAAATGAAATAAAATGACCCTCCTCCCAGGTGTCCCCCTATATTCTCCCTGTCCCACAATAAAATGACCCTCCTCCCAGGTGTCCCCCTATATTCTCTAAAATGACCCTCCTCCCAGGTGTCCCCCTATATTCTCCCTGTCCCCCTATATAAAATGACCCTTCTCCCAGGTGTCCCCCTCCCAGGTGTCCCCCTATATTCTCCCTGTCCCCCTATATAAGTATATAAATTGACCCTCCTCCCAGGTGTCCCCCTATATTCTCCCTGTCCCCCTATATAAAATGACCCTCCTCCCAGGTGTCCCCCTATATTCTCCCTGTCCCCCTATATAAAATGACCCTCCTCCCAGGTGTCCCCCTCCCAGGTGTCCCCCTATATTCTCCCTGTCCCCCTATATAAGTATATAAATTGACCCTCCTCCCAGGTGTCCCCCTATATTCTCCCTGTCCCCCTATATAAGTATATAAATTGACCCTCCTCCCAGGTGTCCCCCTATATTCTCCCTGTCCCCCTATATAAGTATATAAATTGACCCTCCTCCCAGGTGTCCCCCTATATTCTCCCTGTCCCCCTATATAAGTATATAAAATGACCCTCCTCCCAGGTGTCCCCCTATATTCTCCCTGTCCCCCTATATAAAATGACCCTCCTCCCAGGTGTCCCCCTCCCAGGTGTCCCCCTATATTCTCCCTGTCCCCCTATATAAGTATATAAATTGACCCTCCTCCCAGGTGTCCCCCTATATTCTCCCTGTCCCCCTATATAAAATGACCCTCCTCCCAGGTGTCCCCCTCCCAGGTGTCCCCCTATATTCTCCCTGTCCCCCTATATAAGTATATAAATTGACCCTCCTCCCAGGTGTCCCCCTATATTCTCCCTGTCCCACAATAAAATGACCCTCCTCCCAGGTGTCCCCCTATATTCTCTAAAATGACCCTCCTCCCAGGTGTCCCCCTATATTCTCCCTGTCCCCCTATATAAAATGACCCTCCTCCCAGGTGTCCCCCTCCCAGGTGTCCCCCTATATTCTCCCTGTCCCCCTATATAAGTATATAAATTGACCCTCCTCCCAGGTGTCCCCCTATATTCTCCCTGTCCCCCTATATAAGTATATAAATTGACCCTCCTCCCAGGTGTCCCCCTATATTCTCCCTGTCCCCCTATATAAAATGACCCTCCTCCCAGGTGTCCCCCTCCCAGGTGTCCCCCTATATTCTCCCTGTCCCCCTATATAAGTATATAAATTGACCCTCCTCCAGGTGTCCCCCCTATATTCTCCCTGTCCCACCCCTACATTCCGCTGGTCCTGACCACAAGCTCGGAGACTGGTTCCCTGACAGGAGCTGGGTACGGAGAGCTGATACTCTGGAGAGTGTCCTGTATCGGACCCATGACTACCAGGAAAACGGGGATACTGGAGCTGGCTAGAGTGGACACTAAACGTGCTGCTGACTTTACTGCTGTGAGTATTAACTAAACGTGCTGCTGACTTTACTGCTGTGAGTATTAACTAAACGTGCTGCTGACTTTACTGCTGTGAGTATTAACTAAACGTGCTGCTGACTTTACTGCTGTGAGTATTAACTAAACGTGCTGCTGACTTTACTGCTGTGAGTATTAACTAAACGTGCTGCTGACTTTACTGCTGTGAGTATTAACTAAACGTGCTGCTGACTTTACTGCTGTGAGTATTAACTAAACGTGCTGCTGACTTTACTGCTGTGAGTATTAACTAAACGTGCTGCTGACTTTACTGCTGTGAGTATTAACTAAACGTGCTGCTGACTTTACTGCTGTGAGTATTAACTAAACGTGCTGCTGACTTTACTGCTGTGAGTATTAACTAAACGTGCTGCTGACTTTACTGCTGTGAGTATTAACTAAACGTGCTGCTGACTTTACTGCTGTGAGTATTAATCTGGTGGGAGATCAGGTGTTTTAAGTTGTTTTTTGTTAACCAATCATCCTAACTGGTAACTAACCATCGTTAGTGATCACTGATCAGTCTATTTCCACTTTAACAAGGTTTATAGAATTCCAATCACTTGGTTCCCCCAAGTCTGCCCCAGCCGAAAATTAAAATAAGTAAGATACTTAGTTCTCTGCACAGCGGCGGCCCTAACATGTAGCTCTACAGGTATCCTGGTTCCCCAAAGCGTTCTCCGTAATCCCCGCTGACGCGAAGAACCACGCCGGAGTCCTAACGAGCTTTGTGCTGCACTTTGTGGCGTTTACAGGCCACTCTCTCGAGTTGTACAGAGTTGTGACCCTCTCTGAGAGTCTCCACACTGCTAAGATGATACTTGACAGGAGCAGCAGGTAAACAACAACAACAACAGTAACTCGCAGTAACGCGCGGTATTGTTAGTTTGTACGCATGCTAGTTTTAAACAAGAACAATTATTTATTTCTATAATCACACTCCCTTTTCTGCACACATTGGGTGAACAGAGCCTATTAATAGGAAATGGGACCTTACAATGGATAGTAGCTCCACAAAGCAGCAAGAGTAAGTTACACGTCATCGATCACACCTTTATGACGTCATCGATCACACCTTTATGACGTCATCGATCACACGTTTACGGATGACATCCCGTCAAATTGAGATTAACGATTCTTACTGAGTTGCACGCCGTCGAGCCTATCTTGGCCTGCGTGCAGCATGTTGTTGGCGGCGTGCAGCACGTTGTTGGCAGCGTGCAGCACGTTGTTGGCGGCGTGCAGCACGTTGTTGGCAGCATGCAGCACGTTGTTGGCGGCGTGCAGCACGTTGATGGCGGCGTGCAGCTCTGACTCGTCCACCTGATTGGTTAATTAATACTGATTTGTATGTGTTTGCAGACATGTAGACTACTACTCCAGTAGTTACGAGGCGGCCAGGTAGGCTGCGTGGAACCTGCTGACCCCCACCGCTTATATCAGCACCTCTTCACAAGCACTTTATAATCAATTACATAATTGGTTGATTATATAATGTATCGCAGACCGTTCCAACACCCTTGCAATCTATGTTATTTAAATATCTTTTACATATTTTTGTGCTATGGTCTCTGTTAGTAGTGTGTATTATACACACTACTTCTGTTAGCTGCTAACAGAGCACAAACTGTTAGCAACAAGCGTGCTGAAAACATACTATTTCTTCGTTCAAAATTTACCTTTCTGAAAGCACACACATAATTTCACCTCATGTGAACAATGAACAGTGCTATTAATTAGTGTTTCTACCAACATTTTTACTCTTATCAATACGACTCCCTGTATAAGAAGATAATAATGTGTCCCAGTTGTTCGGGAGATGTGATCGGAGAGGAGCACCTGTGTTCTAAGAGCAGTGGCTCAGGAGCCAGTAAGATATACCATGTGGGCAGGATTGCGGAGGTAACTGCGTCATGTGCCTTCCTACATACCTTCCCTCTAGCTGCTATCAGATCAGATGAGCTGTCTAACCAGGTAACCAGGTAACCAGGTAACTAACCAGGTATCCAGGTAACCACTAACCAGGTAACTAACCAGGTAACCAGGTAACCAGGTAACCAGGTAACTAACCAGGTAACCAGGTAACTAACCAGATAACTAACCAGGTAACTAACCAGGTAACCAGGTAACTAACCAGATAACCAGGTAACTAACCAGGTAACCAGGTAACTAACCAGGTAACTAACCAGGTAACCAGGTAACTAACCAGGTAACCAGGTAACTAATGTTTTCAGCTACACGTATTTAATTTTTATAGATAAGTCCAAAATTCAGTGTGGCCCAAATACTAAATCCTCTGACAAGTTTTTATCAGAATTATATAATCGTTGTCCTGTTTTAATCCTTCCTCTTCAGAAGAGTATGTTGGAGAAACTAGAGGAGTATTACGTAGTCTTAGTGGATAATAACCAGAACACTGTATTATCTATCCAGGTATTCAACATTTTATATTATCAGAATTCAGCTTTAGAGTATATCTTTGGTAATGACTGGAACTTACCTACCTACTGGTAACAATTCTACGGAACAAGACTGACAATACCGCCCGTTTTGCAGGTCTCGATAAGTAACCAGGTAACCAGGTAATCAGGTAACCAGATAACCAGTTAACCAGGTAACCAGGTAACAATACCACCCGTTTTGCAGGTCTCGATAAGTAACGAAGAAGAGCCAGGCCTCCTTATCAAACTGCCAACTAAAGTGCAGCATGTTCACAACACTTTCTTTTGTGTCCGGTAAATATCTCTAAATATCTCTAAATATCTCTAAATATCTCTAAATATCTCTAAATATCTCTAAATATCTCTAAATATCTCTAAATATCTCTAAATATCTCTAAATATCTCTAAATATCTCTAAATATCTCTAAACATCTCTAAATATCTCTAAATATCTCTAAACATCTCTAAACATCTCTAAATATCTCTAAATATCTCTAAATATCTCTAAATATCTTATTCACGAACGTTTTGTAAAATTTCCACTGAATTTGTAAGAATTCATTAACATTAAAACTTACAACTTTAGCCATGCAGTTATTAACAAGACCTTATTTCAGTTGGGAGAAGGCGACAACACAACCACTTCCCCTCCCACAATCTACCTCCATCCTGCAATGTTCCCCAGCCGCAGCAACAGTAGCCACCCCCAAGTTCGTGCCCCCTGGTACTTGCTCCCCTTACCTCTTCTCCGGACTCTGCTCTGACAGTGTTCTGAGGTTCTTCACTCTCTCTGAGCACACGTGGGTCACGTGGCCAGACCCTGGTCTCCGGGGGAGGGAACTGAAGCTGAACTGTGACATTAACAACACCTTTACTTGTAATAGTATACCAGGGAGACTAGCTGTTGCTGAAGTGCAGCCCAATGTGCTTCTTGTCTCCATGTACGAGAGTGAGAGTTCGGGTGGGGTGTGCTGGACCCAGGAGGACAGCTTAGAGCTGAAGTGTGGTCCAATAGCAGGGGGGCCTGTTCTGATGGACTTCATGTCCGCAGCTAATGGAACCCACCTTCTGGCAATAGTCCAACAAGACAGCATGTGGGTACTAACCCCCTGCTCCTGTATCAGTCTCCACTCCTCAGGATCAGGTCAGATGACCCACCAACCTAGTCAACAGATAGAGAGCTGGGTCCCCCTCCTTCAAGTCCACCTCAGTACCAACGGACTAGCGGAGCCTCGCTCTCTCAGCTGGAACAGCACTGGCTCCCTCCTACTAGGTATCAACACTGAGCTGCAGCTCTTCTCCCCCTGGTACACCAGAGAGGAGGTCAACATGTTGGACACCCACTCTCACCTGGAGAGAGGAGTGGGCAATGTTTATAACGACGCTCTGTCTCTCCAGCCGCGACTACCTCAGTACCATCCCTACGTGCTGAGACAACTGATAGATAACAGGAAGGTTACGGAGGTAAAGCTAATCCTGCACTATCTGTTAAGATACTTGGTATCCTATTACAGGTCCAGTAAGGTGCGGGCTAAAACAGAGTCTAATATAATCAGCATCATCCCGCCTCTACCTCTACACGAGCTCAACAACCTGCATCCTAACCTCTTCACTGACACTGACAGCGTTATTGATGACACCGCTCAGGGTGATTACAGTGCTCTCTTCACTACAACAGCGCATCTTGACGACAGTGACGACGACCAGGGCCTCTTCTCGGACGAGGAAGAGCACAATGTGATCAACCAGCGCTCCATCACCCACTCCGAGTCTGGGAACGACACCAACTATTGCTTTGACTCCAGACGAGCAGGTGATCTGGACGAGTATTTGTCGAGGTACCAGCTCCCAGGGCTGACACGAGGTGAGCAGTTAGCACTGTCTTGTCTGGCTATCACAATCGGGGCTACCAGTCAGTCGTTCTCGGACAACATGCACTCTCAGCCTGCTGGTCAGGACCTGGATGATTGTGGACTCAGGTTTACTCTGGAGCTGAAGTATCAGAACAGTATTTCTAAGAGGTCGGAGAAAGTTCCCCTTCAGCCTAATGATTGCATATGGGCATTTCACAGCTCATGTCAGACTCAGCTGATTGATCTGATACCGGGCTTCAAAGAGAAGGAGCTGTCTTGGGAGGAGTTGAAGAGTGTTGGAGTTGGATGGTGGGTCAGAAGTGGCATTGCTCTTAAAAATCTGATAGAAATAGTTTGCAAGACAAAGTTCCAAACCACTAAAAAACCCATCGAGTGCGCTCTGTTCTATCTCGCGATGAAGAAGAAGACGTTGCTCCAATCTCTCTACCGTACAGTACGAGACACAAAGATGGCTACCTTCTTAAAACACGACTTCGCTGAAGCACGGTGGAAAACTGCAGCTAAAAAGAATGCTTTTGTGTTGCTAGGCCAGCAGAGATACGAACATGCAGCTGCTTTCTTCCTCCTAGCCGACTCTCTGGAAGACGCCCTTGAGATCCTGTTAAAGTATTGTCAGGATATCCAGCTAGCTTTAGTGGTGGCACGTCTCTACGAGGAGCCTGGGAACACTGTACTTAGTACTGGATCAGAGCACACTATGGAGTATAACATCTGCTTCAGGCGCATCTTGTCTACCTACATATTAGGGAGACCCTACGATACTGCAGACTCTACAACAGGGTCTCTGAGGACTATAAGATACGATGATAACCCCTTCATCTGCTCCATGACACACTGGTGGTTGGGAGAATACCAGAGCTCACTCTACAGTCTGTTACGACCTGTTGTAGTTAACCCTGATAACAAGTCTAACCACATCTTGCCGCATGTCTTCAGCTTCTACTGCTACCTCTACCACCACCCCATACTGAGGAGATGTAAGGATCCTGTTAGGTTACCGTTTGAGCTGCCTGCAGGAACTGTGAATGATGCAGCTGAGGTGATCTCCCTGGAAAGGCGCATGATCTTCATTACCGCTTACACCCAGTTTAACATGGGGTGCCCTTCCCTTTCACTTGATGTGCTCAAGCATCTGGAGAGTGGTTTCACTAAACTCTCTGCTATTACTGACGATTCCACTGTTGATGCTGGAGAAACGGACAAAATCTCAACCGGGATACTTTCCTCCGAGATGAACTCCATGAGCATAACATCGACCCCTTCAACAGAGTCAGCTCTATTGGGTGCCCTGGCTAAAGCAGATAATCTAAACGATGGTTCCTGGATGACGATGGGGGCCCCACTTACTTCCTCCAGATTTAATATGGATGAGGAATATGAAATTGATTTCAGCTCCTCTGATTCTGATTCGAGTGAGGAGGAGATACAAGTCACCACCACAGCTGAACTGTCTACAGATATTGCTGTGGAGGAGCCTAGTGAATGTGGTGATGAGGCACAGGGCCCTACTGATCCTTTCATCGTTCAGTTCAGACTCAAATGTTGTATCAAGATACTCGCAGATGAACTCAGATTTCTCCCACATGCACTTCTAGATCAGTTCGATCCAGAGCTGGGACCCTTCGGGGGACGAGCAAAACTTCGGTCTAAAATTGATTCTGGACAGGATGCCAACAAATCGGCACACTTCCAACAACCCATGATACTACCAGGTGCAAATCAGCTGGGACTCAAAGTGTGCCAGTGGCTAAAGAACGAGATCGACACTATTACCTCGGTCTGCAACCTCAAGTACTCTAACATGGTCCTAGTAGATCTAGATGACACCTCTGAGGACGAGTCTACTATCCTGGAGGACGTGGAACACTTCACCTATCAGCTAGAGGAGAGTATCTTAACCGTTCTCCTTCTCTTCTGTATACTACACGGAGACCTGGACTACAACCTGGCCGCCCTGAGACTGGAGCTCCTCTTCCTGCTCCAGGAGTTCCACTCCACCCGCAACATGTCCACCCTGATCACTGCTATGGAGGCTGAGAACTGTGCAGTAAACCTGCCACCCATTCTCACCACCACCGCCCCTCCTCCCCTCCTCCTCTCTCCTCTTAACATGCTCTGGCAGCTCACCGGACACACCCTCAAACTAATCAACAGGTGCTCGGTCCAACACAACATCTCTCACCCCGAGATACAGATCCTTAACTCCCTGAGTTTGTCTGCCTCCGCTTGCATGTGGCAGTGTCTGGCACTCCGCCAAGGTACTGCCAGGATCCCTAATAGTTATGCTATTGTCAAACATCAGCCTCTAAACTGGCCTGGTCTCAGCGGCAACTCAGTTTACTTTCTGGTCAGTGCTGGTAAAGCATTCCTAGTTAACAAGGAGAAGGAGGGAGCCCAGAGGATAGCTATAGTCCTCATAGAGGCCATCATTTCAGTTTACCTAGGTCAGTTTAACTTTTAATATAGTCATTTTATTATTGAGTGTGTACTGTGAAGTATACTTTACATATAATTTATGATTTACTGCAATACAACTATAACCTTAGTTTGTAATAACTATTCTGATAACCAGCTATCTGTTCAGGACTGTACCTACATGCACTCTCCAACTCAGACGCAATCCTAATAACCCAGCTATTACACAATTATCCCTCTCTGGATATGTGGACTAAAGTAACTGGAACCACTGTCCAGTCTGTAGACACCAACTCTCCTAGACCCCCTAACAAGAGGGTCTCTATGATGGGGGAGAGGATCAGGTATGTAGACACTAACTCTCCTAGACCCCCTAACAAGAGGGTCTCTATGATGGGGGAGAGGATCAGGTATGTAGACACTAACTCTCCTAGACCCCCTAACAAGAGGGTCTCTATGATGGGGGAGAGGATCAGGTATGTAGACACTAACTCTCCTAGACCCCCTAACAAGAGGGTCTCTATAATGGGGGAGAGGATCAGGTATGTAGACACTAACTCTCCTAGACCCCCTAACAAGAGGGTCTCTATGATGGGAGAGAGGATCAGGTATGTAGACACTAACTCTCCTAGACCCCCTAACAAGAGGGTCTCTATGATGGGGGAGAGGATCAGGTATGTAGACACTAACTCTCTTAGACCCCCTAACAAGAGGGTCTCTATGATGGGGGAGAGGATCAGGTATGTAGACACTAACTCTCCTAGACCCCCTAACAAGAGGGTCTCTATGATGGGGGAGAGGATCAGGTATGTAGACACTAACTCTCCTAGACCCCCTAACAAGAGGGTCTCTATGATGGGGGAGAGGATCAGGTATGTAGACACTAACTCTCCTAGACCCCCTAACAAGAGGGTCTCTATGATGGGGGAGAGGATCAGGTATGTAGACACTAACTCTCCTAGACCCCCTAACAAGAGGGTCTCTATGATGGGGGAGAGGATCAGGTATGTAGACACTAACTCTCCTAGACCCCCTAACAAGAGGGTCTCTATGATGGGGGAGAGGATCAGGTATGTAGACACTAACTCTCCTAGACCCCCTAACAAGAGGGTCTCTATGATGGGGGAGAGGATCAGGTATGTAGACACTAGCTTTCCTAGACCCCCTAACAAGAGGGTCTCTATGATGGGGGAGAGGATCAGGTATGTAGACACTAACTCTCCTAGACCCCCTAACAAGAGGGTCTCTATGATGGGGGGGGGGTGTCACGTCCGTCTATGTCCGCTTGTCTCATAGAATCCAAAAAGGACAGGACATAGGCGGACATAGGCGGACATAGACGGACATAGGCGGACATAGACGGACATAGGCGGACATAGGCGGACATTAATGGACACCTAAATTGCTAAATAAAATGTTCAATTTTGCTGTTATAGGGGGATCATGTTTTTTGTCCGTTCTGTACCCTATATTTTCAAAACGGACAAAAAATAGAGCGGACAAAAACGGACAAAAATGGACAAAAACGGACAAAAATGGAAATAAAATTTAGATGCTTCCTCCTCCTACTCTTCCTCCTCCTCCCCTGGGTCTTCCTGATCTTCCTCAGTCCTCTTCCTCCTCCCCTCCTTAGTCCTCCTCCTACTCCTCCTCCTCGTCCTCAGTCCTCCTCAACAGTCCTCCTCCTCCCCAGTCCTCCTCCTCCTCCTGAGTCCTCCTCCTGGGTCCTCCTCCTGGGTCCTTCTCCTCCTCTTCATCCTCCTCCTCTTCCTCCTCAGTCCTCAGTCCTCCTCCTCATCCTTCTCCTCAGTCCTCCATCCTCCTCCTCAGTCCTCCCCCAGTCCCCCTCCTCCTCCTATTCAGTCCTCCTCCTCCTCCTCCTCCTCTCAGTCCTTCTCAGTCCTCCTCCTCCTCCTCCTCCTCTCCTCTCAGTCATCCTCCTCAGCCATCCTCCTCAGCCATCCTCCTCAGTCCTCCTCAGTCCTCCTCCTCCTGGGTCCTCCTCCTCCTCTTCATCCTCCTCCTCTTCCTCCTCGGTCCTCAGTCCTCCTCCTGGGTCCTCCTCCTCATCCTTCTCATCAGTCCTCCTCCTCCCCAGTCCTCTCCCAGTCCCCCTCCTTCTCCTCCTCCTATTCAGTCCTCCTCCTCCTCCTCCTCCTCAGTTCTCCTCAGTCCTCCTTCTCATTTCTCCTAAGTCCTCCTCCTGAGTCCTCCTCCTGAGTCCTCCTCCTCTTCCTTCTGAGTCCTCCTTCTGAGTCCTCCTCCTCCTCCCTCTCAGTCATCCTCTTCAGTCATCCTCCTCAGCCATCCTCCCCAGCCATCCTCCTCAGCCATCCTCCTCAGTACTCCTCAGTCCTCCTCCTTCTCAGTCATCGTCAGTCCTCCTCCTCAGTCCTCCTCAGTCCTCCTCCTCCTACTGGGTCCTCCTCCTCCTCCTCCTCCTGGGTCCTCCTGGGTCTTCCTGATCCTCCCCAGTCCTCTTCCTCCTCCCCTCCTCAGTCCTCCTCCTACTCTTCCTCCTCGTCCTCAGTCCTCCTCGTCAGTCCTCAACAGTTCTCCTCCTCCCCAGTCCTCCTCCTCCTCCTGGGGCCTTTTCCTGGGTCCTCCTCCTGGGTCCTTCTCCTCCTGGGTCCTCCTCCTCCTGGGTCCTCCTTCTCCTCCTCAGTCCTTCTCCTCCAGATAAAATACTCGCCAGCACTGTTATACGAAATTCGGTAAAAAACCCAAAATCGCCATATTCAGGTGCCTTAAAAACCATGTTAAAATTGAGTTAGAGATCTGAAATTTTTCAGGGCGTCTAGACGTTGACAAAATCGACTGCAAAAAAAGTTTCAGGTTTCAGGAGCATCGGGAAGTGGGTTTTTTAGAACCCCTGAGAGGGAGGAAGAGGAGGAAGAGGACTGAGGAGGAGGAGGAGTCCTCCTCCTCCTCAGTCCTCTTCCTCCTCCTCCTCCCTCTCAGTCATCCTCCTCAGCCATCCTCCTCAGCCATCCTCCTCAGTCCTCCTCCTTCTCAGTCCTCCTGAGTCCTCCTCCTGAGTCCTCCTCCTCCTCAGTCATCCTCCTCAGTTCTCCTCCTCCTCCTCCTAGGTCCTCCTTCTGGGTCCTCCTCCTCCTCCTCCTCCTGGGTCTTCCTGATCCTTCTCCTCCCTCTCAGTCATCCTCCTCAGTCATCCTCCTCAGTCATCTTCCTCAGCCATCCTCCTCAGCCATCCTTCTCAGCCATCCTCCTCAGTACTCTTCAGTACTCTTCAGTACTCTTCAGTCCTCAAAATGTTTGTCCGCTAATGTCCACCAATGTCCGCTTATGTCCACCAATGTCCATCCAAGTCCGCCAATGTCCGTCCGGGTCCGCCAATGTCCGTCCGAGTCCGCCAATGTCCGTCCGAGTCCGCCAATGTCCGTCCGAGTCCGCCAATGTCCGTCCGTGTCCGCCAATGTCCCAAAAGCACGTCCGTTGTCTCATAGAATCCAAAAAGGACAGGACATAGGCGGACATAGACGGACATGACACCCCCCCCCCCCCCCCCCCCCCGATGGGGGAGAGGATCAGGTATCATGTAAACACTAACTCTCCTAGACCCCCTAACAAGAGGGTCTCTATGATGGGGGAGAGGATCAGGTATCATGTAGACACTAACTCTCCTAGACCCCCTAACAAGAGGGTCTCTATGATGGGGGAGAGGATCAGGTATGTAGACACTAACTCTCCTAGACCCCCTAACAAGAGGGTCTCTATGATGGGGGAGAGGATCAGGTATGTAGACACTAACTCTCCTAGACCCCCTAACAAGAGGGTCTCTATGATGGGGGAGAGGATCAGGTATGTAGACACTAACGCTCCTAGACCCCCTAACAAGAGGGTCTCTATGATGGGGGAGAGGATCAGGTATGTAGACACTAACTCTCCTAGACCCCCTAACAAGAGGGTCTCTATGATGGGGGAGAGGATCAGGTATATAGACACTAACTCTCCTAGACCCCCTAACAAGAGGGTCTCTATGATGGGGGAGAGGATCAGGTATGTAGACACTAACTCTCCTAGACCCCCTAACAAGAGGGTCTCTATGATGGGGGAGAGGATCAGGTATGTAGACACTAACTCTCCTAGACCCCCTAACAAGAGGGTCTCTATGATGGGGGAGAGGATCAGGTATGTAGACACTAACTCTCCTAGACCCCCTAACAAGAGGGTCTCTATGATGGGGGAGAGGATCAGGTATGTAGACACTAACTCTCCTAGACCCCCTAACAAGAGGGTCTCTATGATGGGGGAGAGGATCAGGTATGTAGACACCAACTCTCCTAGACCCCCTAACAAGAGGGTCTCTATGATGGGGGAGAGGATCAGGTATGTAGACACTAACTCTCCTAGACCCCCTAACAAGAGGGTCTCTATGATGGGGGAGAGGATCAGGTATGTAGACACTAACTCTCCTAGACCCCCTAACAAGAGGGTCTCTATGATGGGGGAGAGGATCAGGTATGTAGACACTAACTCTCCTAGACCCCCTAACAAGAGGGTCTCTATGATGGGGGAGAGGATCAGGTATGTAGACACTAACTCTCCTAGACCCCCTAACAAGAGGGTCTCTATGATGGGGGAGAGGATCAGGTATGTAGACACTAACTCTCCTAGACCCCCTAACAAGAGGGTCTCTATGATGGGGGAGAGGATCAGGTATGTAGACACTAACTCTCCTAGACCCCCTAACAAGAGGGTCTCTATGATGGGGGAGAGGATCAGGTATGTAGACACTAACTCTCCTAGACCCCCTAACAAGAGGGTCTCTATGATGGGAGAGAGGATCAGGTATGTAGACACTAACTCACCTAGACCCCCTAACAAGAGGGTCTCTATGATGGGGGAGAGGATCAGGTATGTAGACACTAACTCTCCTAGACCCCCTAACAAGAGGGTCTCTATGATGGGGGAGAGGATCAGGTATGTAGACACTAACTCTCCTAGACCCCCTAACAAGAGGGTCTCTATGATGGGGAGAGGATCAGGTATGTAGACACTAACTCTCCTAGACCCCCTAACAAGAGGGTCTCTATGATGGGGGAGAGGATCAGGTATGTAGACACTAACTCTCCTAGACCCCCTAACAAGAGGGTCTCTATGATGGGGGAGAGGATCAGGTATGTAGACACTAACTCTCCTAGACCCCCTAACAAGAGGGTCTCTATGATGGGGGAGAGGATCAGGTATGTAGACACTAACTCTCCTAGACCCCCTAACAAGAGGGTCTCTATGATGGGGGAGAGGATCAGGTATGTAGACACTAACTCTCCTAGACCCCCTAACAAGAGGGTCTCTATGATGGGGGAGAGGATCAGGTATGTAGACACTAACTCTCCTAGACCCCCTAACAAGAGGGTCTCTATGATGGGGGAGAGGATCAGGTATGTAGACACTAACTCTCCTAGACCCCCTAACAAGAGGGTCTCTATGATGGGGGAGAGGATCAGGTATGTAGACACTAACTCTCCTAGACCCCCTAACAAGAGGGTCTCTATGATGGGGGAGAGGATCAGGTATGTAGACACTAACTCTCCTAGACCCCCTAACAAGAGGGTCTCTATGATGGGGGAGAGGATCAGGTATGTAGACACTAACTCTCCTAGACCCCCTAACAAGAGGGTCTCTATGATGGGGGAGAGGATCAGGTATGTAGACACTAACTCTCCTAGACCCCCTAACAAGAGGGTCTCTATGATGGGGGAGAGGATCAGGTATGTAGACACTAACTCTCCTAGACCCCCTAACAAGAGGGTCTCTATGATGGGGGAGAGGATCAGGTATGTAGACACTAACTCTCCTAGACCCCCTAACAAGAGGGTCTCTATGATGGGGGAGAGGATCAGGTATGTAGACACTAACTCTCCTAGACCCCCTAACAAGAGGGTCTCTATGATGGGGGAGAGGATCAGGTATGTAGACACTAACTCTCCTAGACCCCCTAACAAGAGGGTCTCTATGATGGGGGAGAGGATCAGGTATGTAGACACTAACTCTCCTAGACCCCCTAACAAGAGGGTCTCTATGATGGGGGAGAGGATCAGGTATGTAGACACTAACTCTCCTAGACCCCCTAACAAGAGGGTCTCTATGATGGGGAGAGGATCAGGTATGTAGACACTAACTCTCCTAGACCCCCTAACAAGAGGGTCTCTATGATGGGGGAGAGGATCAGGTATGTAGACACTAACTCTCCTAGACCCCCTAACAAGAGGGTCTCTATGATGGGGGAGAGGATCAGGTATGTAGACACTAACTCTCCTAGACCCCCTAACAAGAGGGTCTCTATGATGGGGGAGAGGATCAGGTATGTAGACACTAACTCTCCTAGACCCCCTAACAAGAGGGTCTCTATGATGGGGGAGAGGATCAGGTATGTAGACACTAACTCTCCTAGACCCCCTAACAAGAGGGTCTCTATGATGGGGGAGAGGATCAGGTATGTAGACACTAACTCTCCTAGACCCCCTAACAAGAGGGTCTCTATGATGGGGGAGAGGATCAGGTATGTAGACACTAACTCTCCTAGACCCCCTAACAAGAGGGTCTCTATGATGGGGGAGAGGATCAGGTATGTAGACACTAACTCTCCTAGACCCCCTAACAAGAGGGTCTCTATGATGGGGGAGAGGATCAGGTATGTAGACACTAACTCTCCTAGACCCCCTAACAAGAGGGTCTCTATGATGGGGGAGAGGATCAGGTATGTAGACACTAACTCTCCTAGACCCCCTAACAAGAGGGTCTCTATGATGGGGGAGAGGATCAGGTATGTAGACACTAACTCTCCTAGACCCCCTAACAAGAGGGTCTCTATGATGGGGGAGAGGATCAGGTATGTAGACACTAACTCTCCTAGACCCCCTAACAAGAGGGTCTCTATGATGGGGGAGAGGATCAGGTATGTAGACACTAACTCTCCTAGACCCCCTAACAAGAGGGTCTCTATGATGGGGGAGAGGATCAGGTATGTAGACACTAACTCTCCTAGACCCCCTAACAAGAGGGTCTCTATGATGGGGGAGAGGATCAGGTATGTAGACACTAACTCTCCTAGACCCCCTAACAAGAGGGTCTCTATGATGGGGGAGAGGATCAGGTATGTAGACACTAACTCTCCTAGACCCCCTAACAAGAGGGTCTCTATGATGGGGGAGAGGATCAGGTATGTAGACACTAACTCTCCTAGACCCCCTAACAAGAGGGTCTCTATGATGGGGGAGAGGATCAGGTATGTAGACACTAACTCTCCTAGACCCCCTAACAAGAGGGTCTCTATGATGGGGGAGAGGATCAGGTATGTAGACACTAACTCTCCTAGACCCCCTAACAAGAGGGTCTCTATGATGGGGGAGAGGATCAGGTATGTAGACACTAACTCTCCTAGACCCCCTAACAAGAGGGTCTCTATGATGGGGGAGAGGATCAGGTATGTAGACACTAACTCTCCTAGACCCCCTAACAAGAGGGTCTCTATGATGGGGGAGAGGATCAGGTATGTAGACACTAACTCTCCTAGACCCCCTAACAAGAGGGTCTCTATGATGGGGGAGAGGATCAGGTATGTAGACACTAACTCTCCTAGACCCCCTAACAAGAGGGTCTCTATGATGGGGGAGAGGATCAGGTATGTAGACACTAACTCTCCTAGACCCCCTAACAAGAGGGTCTCTATGATGGGGGAGAGGATCAGGTATGTAGACACTAACTCTCCTAGACCCCCTAACAAGAGGGTCTCTATGATGGGAGAGAGGATCAGGTATGTAGACACCAACTCTCCTAGACCCCCTAACAAGAGGGTCTCTATGATGGGGGAGAGGATCAGGTATGTAGACACTAACTCTCCTAGACCCCCTAACAAGAGGGTCTCTATGATGGGGGAGAGGATCAGGTATGTAGACACTAACTCTCCTAGACCCCCTAACAAGAGGGTCTCTATGATGGGGGAGAGGATCAGGTATGTAGACACTAACTCTCCTAGACCCCCTAACAAGAGGGTCTCTATGATGGGGGAGAGGATCAGGTATGTAGACACTAACTCTCCTAGACCCCCTAACAAGAGGGTCTCTATGATGGGGGAGAGGATCAGGTATGTAGACACTAACTCTCCTAGACCCCCTAACAAGAGGGTCTCTATGATGGGGGAGAGGATCAGGTATGTAGACACTAACTCTCCTAGACCCCCTAACAAGAGGGTCTCTATGATGGGGAGAGGATCAGGTATGTAGACACTAACTCTCCTAGACCCCCTAACAAGAGGGTCTCTATGATGGGGGAGAGGATCAGGTATGTAGACACTAACTCTCCTAGACCCCCTAACAAGAGGGTCTCTATGATGGGGGAGAGGATCAGGTATGTAGACACTAACTCTCTAGACCCCCTAACAAGAGGGTCTCTATGATGGGGGAGAGGATCAGGTATGTAGACACCAACTCTCCTAGACCCCCTAACAAGAGGGTCTCTATGATGGGGGAGAGGATCAGGTATGTAGACACTAACTCTCCTAGACCCCCTAACAAGAGGGTCTCTATGATGGGGGAGAGGATCAGGTATGTAGACACTAACTCTCCTAGACCCCCTAACAAGAGGGTCTCTATGATGGGGGAGAGGATCAGGTATGTAGACACTAACTCTCCTAGACCCCCTAACAAGAGGGTCTCTATGATGGGGGAGAGGATCAGGTATGTAGACACTAACTCTCCTAGACCCCCTAACAAGAGGGTCTCTATGATGGGGGAGAGGATCAGGTATGTAGACACTAACTCTCCTAGACCCCCTAACAAGAGGGTCTCTATGATGGGGGAGAGGATCAGGTATGTAGACACTAACTCTCCTAGACCCCCTAACAAGAGGGTCTCTATGATGGGGGAGAGGATCAGGTATGTAGACACTAATTCTCCTAGACCCCCTAACAAGAGGGTCTCTATGATGGGGGAGAGGATCAGGTATGTAGACACTAACTCTCCTAGACCCCCTAACAAGAGGGTCTCTTTGATGGGGGAGAGGATCAGGTATGTAGACACTAACTCTCCTAGACCCCCTAACAAGAGGGTCTCTATGATGGGAGAGAGGATCAGGTATGTAGACACCAACTCTCCTAGACCCCCTAACAAGAGGGTCTCTATGATGGGGGAGAGGATCAGGTATGTAGACACTAACTCTCCTAGACCCCCTAACAAGAGGGTCTCTATGATGGGGGAGAGGATCAGGTATGTAGACACTAACTCTCCTAGACCCCCTAACAAGAGGGTCTCTAATCTCTATGATGGGGGAGAGGATCAGGTATGTAGATCTTTTAACTGAACAAATGTGATTTCTGGCTAGGATTAAATATGGATAATGAATGATAATGTGGATGGTAATATAGTTAATCACACAGAGTGAAAGGACCTCGTATCTCTCAAGAGGGTGTTGTGACGGTGAGGGAGACCTTCTTACCACCCTGCATGTCACTGGTCGAGTTCTTCAACAGAGAGCAACATCTTGATACTTCCAACATGTTTGAAGTTGATAGCGACTGTGAGGTTAGCTACCGTTTCAGTTCAGCATTGTTTTAAAGAGCTACCCTTTTTATTATACTTTGTTCCCATTTCTTTGGAAATCTGATCTTGCTGAAAATCTCCCAAAAAATAAACCAATTAGTCAGTTAATTGATGATGGTATGAAACCAAATTGGGGTACTGGAAGTCGAAATCTCGAAAAAATTGGAAAATCATACTGTCCCATACTCTGTCCCATTTTCAGTTTTTGAAGCTGAAATTTCCAGGGCCGAAATTTTACAGTTTTGACCGAATTTCTGACCCGCAACCAATTAGTCAGTCAACTATAGATGGCAATTGACACGATTGAGGTGCTGGAAGTTTGATTTGGGTCGGAGGAAGTTGATAGCAGTAAGTTTAACAAAACGAAAAGTTGTATTTTCAAAAGTCTGTCCCATTTTCAGATATGAACATTTCTGATCACACATTTGACAGATTGGATGAAATTTTTTCCCAGAAACCAATTAGTCAGTTAATTGATGATGGTATGAACAAATTGGGGTACTGGAAGTCGAAATCTCGAAAAAAATTGGAAAATCATACTGTCCCATTTTCAGTTTTTGAAGAAGAAATTTCCAGGGCCGAAATTTAACAGTTTTGATCAAATTTCTGACCCGCAACCAATTAGTCAGTCAACTATAGATGGCAAATGACACGATTGAGGTGCTGGAAGTTTGATTTGGGTCGGAGGAAGCTGACAGCAGAAAGTTTAACAAAAAGAAAAGTAGTATTTTCAAAAGTCTGTCCCATTTTCAGATATGAACATTTCTGATGACACATTTGACAGATTGGATGAAATTTTTGCTCAGAAACCAATTAGTCAGTTAATTGATGATGGTATGAAACCAAATTGGGGTACTGGAAGTCGAAATCTCGAAAAAAAAGTGGAAAATCATACTGTCCCATACTCTGTCCCATTTTCAGTTTTTGAAGCTGAAATTTCCAGGGCCGAAATTTTACAGTTTTGACCGAATTTCTGACCCGCAACCAATTAGTCAGTCAACTATAGATGGCAAATGACACGATTGAGGTGCTGGAAGTTTGATTTGGGTCGGAGGAAGCTGACAGCAGAAAGTTTAACAAAACGAAAAGTTGTATTTTCAAAAGTCTGTCCCATTTTCAGATATGAACATTTCTGATGACACATTTGACAGATTGGATGAAATTTTTGCTCAAAAACCAATTAGTCAGTTAATTGATGATGGTATGAAACCAAATTGGGGTACTGGAAGTCGAAATCTCGAAAAAAAGTGGAAATTCATACTGTCCCATACTCTGTCCCATTTTCAGTTTTTGAAGCTGAAATTTCCAGGGCCGAAATTTTACAGTTTTGACCGAATTTCTGACCCGAAATCAATTAGTCAGTCAACTATAGATGGCAAATGACACGATTGAGGTGCTGGAAGTTTGATTTGGGTCGGAGGAAGCTCACAGCAGAAATATTAACAAAACGAAAAGTTTTGGATCCATTTTCGGGACATAAATAATTTATTCCTTGGCCATAATACTGACCAAAAGGCCATAAATTCATTCGACCCAGCCAAAAAAATTTCAAAAGTATATCTCCCACGGGTTTTGCAGAAAGTCTTGTTAAACTTGAAGTCGTGGTATCAGTTAAATGGTAACAGATATATATATATATATTTCGTTGCTGTACTCCTACACATTAAAATTCGGTGTTGATTAGATCTTCGAAATTCTTTGCATCATTTATTAAACATCGTTATCTGAGATAAAATTGTTTTAAAAGCAACTGGAATATACACAAATCTTTAAAATAACTTACAAACTAGGAAAGGAAAACAAATCTTAGGAAGACGTACAAAACTATGTGACTTAAAACGGTACAAAACTAAAACATACTGAGTAATAATCAAACGAAAAGAATGGCTGAGTACATCTTATCTAATCTATTAAAAATTAGTTTCTCGGAAAAAGCTAGATTTCTCTGAATCAAACAGTAAAAATAATTAAATAGTAATGAATATAACACGTCTCTGATAGCAATATTGTAAACTAAACACGGGTTTATAGGCTAAGATCATGTTAAATAAAATAAATAAACTAAACACTAAGCTCCAGCGGATTTAAAAAGGATGTGGTTACTATCGAGGGTGTTCATACCCCCATAACGCTCAAGGGTTTTCAATTGGGTCTGGTAGAATATCGTCTCGCTTTATATATACCTTATCGGACCTTATTTGGACGGACATTACTTGAACGCTGGAGGCCCTAGCGTTCATCTTAATGTCCGTTCAAATAAAGTCCGTTCAATTAATGTCCGTCCAAGTTAAAGTCCGTTAAAATTTTTCCATATTTCGAACTTTTTGTCCAGAATATGATGTATGACAACTTTGAGAACTTTATTGTGCCGTAAGTTAACGATGGAAAGTTTCTCCTTGGTCTGCCGGAGGCACAGAAAACTCTACTAGTATATGATGTTTTCAAGGGTCATGACTTGGCGGAAAAAAGTCAACGAAATTATGGCACTCAACAACATAGTTCATGAACTAGTCCCCGCCAACATGACAAACTTGTTCCAGCCTCTAGATATTACGGTAAATCGTGTTTCCAAGGACATTTTCCGACGTTGTTATAGTTCATATTACTCGGGGGCGGTAATGGAACAGTGCTAGGAAAGCTCCACGTGATGTTAAGGTTAACCTAAAGTTGTCTATGATAAAACCACTTCACGCCGAATGGATTGTAAAAGTTAACACTGAAATGCAGGACCGGGGTAGTTTGATAAAGCTAGAAATCACTGATGCTTTAAGCATGGACTATTTCATGCACGAAACCCCATTTGATGAAGATGATATGTGATATTAGACACTGATCATGTACATATATTTTAACATTTTTACTGCTCAATGACTGCTTTCCTTACTTACTGTATAAAAAATGGATTCAAAAATCATTTGCTGAAATTGAAAAAACGTCAAAAAAATTGAAAAAAATTCGGATTTTTGATGGTTTTGAATGCCTTCGAGCGTTCATATTAATGTCCGTTCATAATTATTATATATATATATATTATATATTATATATATGTCCGTTCATGTAATGTCCGTCCAAATAAGGTCCGATAAGGTAGTAAGATGTTAAGATATAAAATATATAAAATGTAAAATAACGTTGCTAGGAGACGCTGTAGAATAATGTTAAGATATAAAATGTAAAATAACGTTGCTAGGATACGCTGTAGAATAATGTTAAGATATAAAATGTAAAATAACGTTGCTAGGAGACGCTGTAGAATAATGTTAAGATATAAAATGTAAAATAACGTTGCTAGGATACGCTGTAGAATAATGTTACGATATAAAATGTAAAATAACTTTGCTAGGAGACGCTGTAGAATAATGTTAAGATATAAAATGTAAAATAACGTTGCTAGTAGACGCTGTAGAATAATGTTAAGTTATAAAATGTAAAATAACGTTGCTAGGATACGCTGTAGAATAATGTTAAGATATAAAATGTAAAATAACGTTGCTAGGATACGCTGTAGAATAATGTTACGATATAAAATGTAAAATAACGTTGCTAGGAGACGCTTTAGAATAATGTTAAGATATAAAATGTAAAATAACGTTGCTAGGAGACGTTTTAGAGTAATTTTAAGATATAAAATGTAAAATAACGTTGCTAGGAGACGCTGTAGAATAATGTTAAGATATAAAATGTAAAATAACGTTGCTAGGAGACGTTTTAGAGTAATTTTAAGATATAAAATGTAAAATAACGTTGCTAGGATACGCTGTAGAATAATTTTAAGATATAAAATGTAAAATAACGTTGCTAGGAGACGCTGTAGAATAATGTTAAGATATAAAATGTAAAATAACGTTGCTAGGAGACGCTGTAGAATAATGTTAAGATATAAAATGTAAAATAACGTTGCTAGGAGACGTTGTAGAATAATGTTAAGATATAAAATGTAAAATAACGTTACTAGGAGACACTGTAGAATATTGTTAAGATATAAAATGTAAAATAACGTTGCTAGGAGACGCTGTAGAATAATGTTAAGATATAAAATGTAAAATAACGTTGCTAGGATACGCTGTAGAATAATGTTAAGATATAAAATGTAAAATAACGTTGCTAGGAGACGCTGTAGAATAATTTTAAGATATAAAATGTAAAATAACGTTGCTAGGAGACGCTGTAGAATAATGTTAAGATATAAAATGTAAAATAACGTTACTAGGAGACGCTGTAGAATAATGTTAAGATATAAAATGTAAAATAACGTTGCTAGGAGACGCTGGACGATGAAGGGGATGATCCAGAGGATTACAGTTGCTACAGCTGGCGCCTCATGAGACTCATGTCTGTAATACACGTCCAGGACAAGATACTTTCCTTCTTAACCGATATCGGCATCATTCCCTCAGGTTACTATTCTTTTCGCTTGAGTCTCGATGTAGACAGATTTTGTGTTAAATTCTCGGCAAGACTTGCCCATGTAGAATAATCTCAATCGGTCAGATTTGGCAAATACGAATGATTATGCATTTCTAAAAATACGCACCTCCGTAGATTTAGCAGGGATGTCCCCCTTGCTAGCGTGCAGTATGAAGACTCTGGACGGGTGGGCGGAGAACCTTCTAGAACAACTAGAAGGAGCTTACCCTGAGGGATGTCCCTCTGACTTGCTTCCTCCGTTAGCACCTGGCTACTCCTTACAGCAGAGTCTTGCGGAACCTAACTGCTCTCCTTTCAGACAGCACACTCAGGTCAGCGATGGGTGGGCGACAATTGACCCCCCGACAATTGACCCCCCCGAAAATTGACCCCGACAATTGACCCCCCCGACAATTGACCCCCCGACGATTGAACCCCCGACAATTGACCCCCCGAAAATTGACCCCCCGACAATTGACCCCCCGACAATTGACCCCCGACAATTGACCCCCCGACAATTGACCTTCTGACAATTACCCCCCGAAAATTGACCCCCCGAAAATTGACCCCCGACAATTGACCCCCGACAATTGACCCCCCCCCCCCCCCCCCGACAATTGACCCCCCGACGATTGACCCCCCGACAATTGACCCCCTATGTAATTACACTGGGATCAATTGTCGCGAAATCTAGGACTTAGTATACGACAATTGACCCCCCGACAATTGACCCCCGACAATTGACCCCCCGACAATTGACCCCCCGACAATATAATTTAATACAATTAACCCTGACCCTGACCCTGACCCTGACCCTGACCCTGACCCTGACCCTGACCCTGACCCTGACCCTGACCCTGACCCTGACCCTGACCTTGACCCTGATCAGGGTCAAGGTCCAGGGCCAGGGCCTGACCCTGACCCAGGACCCTAACCCTAACCCTGAACCTGACCCTGTCGGGGGGTCAATTGTCGGGGGGTCAATTGTCGAGGGGTCAATTGTCGCGGTACCGTTAGCAATATAGTTCTGTATGGGGGGGGGGGGGGGGGGGGTCCTGCTGTCTGCATCAATACTTTCACTTCTTCTATATGTCTGTTCTTAAATGTGAGTATTTGACATTTATATTTTTGTTTCAGACGTCATTGCAAGCTAGGATGTTGTGGCACAAACTGGCAACAGAGACACCGATAACCGACTATCTGCAGACTAAAGAACCAGAGGTAAAAATTGTTCTTCTTCAGTTAGACAGGATAATGTTAAGCTGGTGTTGGTTACATCTGACTGTTTATACAGGGTGGCCCAAAAGTGACTACGCAACCTCTTAACTTCTTAATAACTCACGTAATTCGTCTCCAAATTGCACCAAAATTTCAGAGATTATACATATGGGTCAAACTTAGATTTCCTGAAAGTTTTGTAAGCCACGCCCAATTACAGTGGGCGTGGCGTGGCACTCCCTCTTTTTCACTATTGTCTTCATAAAATGAGAACGCTTTAAGCTAAGAACTCACAATTTTTTTCACACATTTGGCTTGCTAATTTAAAACCGTTCCCAAAGTTTCAAGTTCATTGCTCAAAATTTGGCTGAGTTATGACCATTTTGTATGTTAAGCTGCTGTATATTTACACCTGACCCTTACTCTACCAGGTGTTAGGAGAGGAGCCTTGTTCTCACGGAGTTAGGACCGCTTTTAGAGGAACAGACGGGGTCTCCTCCTTCTCCTGCTACCAGGTACTAGGAGTAAAGTAATAAGATATAAGATATTTAACTCGCTCCTCCTCTTGCAGCATGTCATTAATCTGCATTTTGACAGGTAGCGAAGAAAAGGGTGCGACGAAAGTCGTTCTTTGAAGATATTTTATCTTATTTGACATCTGAATCTGACGATGAAATGTGAAATTAGACCGACATGCTGACAATGAACAGACGAATAAACCAACAGACCGACTGACACAATACACATAAACTTTCTCAAGAGAATATACTTTATGGCTCTTGTCTTCAAACAATACGAAAACAGAGACTTTAATAGAATTGTATTTGATAATTGATGTATCAAGTTCTGAGTGACAGATCTCAAGAGTTTTGTCCCTTTTATAGCTGTGAATTACTAGAAATGAAAAATAAAACGATATATTATTATATATAGGTTAATATGGAATTAAGGTTGTGCTTGCTAGATCAGTTTATACTAGGATTGAATCGGGCACAAGTAATAATTAGTGATGATTAGTGATGATTAGTGATGATTAGTGATGATTAGTGATAATTAGTTATGATTAGTGATGATTAGTGATGATTAGTGATGATTAGTGATGATTAGTGATGATTAGTTATGATTAGTTATGATTAGTGATGATTAGTGATGATTAGTGATGATTAGTGATGATTAGTGATGATTAGTGATGATTAGTGATGATTAGTGATGATTAGTGATGATTACTAATATGTCCCCCCAGGAATGTGGTGATATGGGACACACTGCTGCCCCCCCCCCCCTAATGTGTCCCCTCCAGGAATGTGGTGATATGGGACACACTGCTGCCCCCCCCCCCCCCCCCCCTAATGTGTCCCCCCCAGGAATGCGGTGATATGGGACACATTGCTACCCCCCCCCCCCCCCCCCCTAATGTGCCCCCCCTAATGTGTCCCCTCCAGGAATGCGGTGATATGGGACACACTGCTACCCCCCCCCCCTAATGTATCCCCCCCAGGAATGTGGTGATATGGGACACACTACTGCCCACCCCCCCCCCCCCCCTAATGTGTCCCCTCCAGGAATGTGGTGATATGGGACACACTGCTGCCCCCCCCCCCCTAATGTGTCCCCCCCCAGGAATGTGGTGATATGGGACACACTGCACCCCCCCCCCCCTAATGTGTCCCCTCCAGGAATGTGGTGATATGGGACACACTGCTGCCCCCCCCCCCCCCCCTAATGTGTCCCCCCCCCCCCCCCCCCCCCCCCCAGGAATGTGGTGATATGGGACACACTGCTGCCCCCCCCCTAATATGTCCCCCCAGGAATGTGGTGATATGGGACACACTGCTGCCCCCCCCCCCCCCTAATATGTCCCCCCAGGAATGTGGTGATGTGGGACACACTGCTGCCCCCCCCCCCCCCTAATGTGTCCCCTCCAGGAATGTGTCCCCTCCAGGAATGCGATGATTAGTGATGATTAGTGATGATTAGTGATGATTAGTGATGATTAGTGATGATTAGTGATATTAAGTTAGCTGTCTTACAGAACCGAGTGAACATGATGGTGGTAACAACACTCAGAGAGATTCTAGAGATAGATGTGAAGACCTGTCTAGATAGAGACAGAGGAGTGAAGGAGGAGGGAAACGAGGAGGGGAACAACTCGCCCTTTGTTATCAGTTAGTAACCTTAGTAACCACCTTAGTAACCTTAGTAACCACCTTAGTAACCTTAGTAACCACGTGTTAGTAACCTTAGTAACCACGTTAGTAACCTTAGTAACCACGTGTTAGTAACCTTAGTAACCACGTTAGTAACCTTAGTAACCACGTGGATTGCTTGTGCTTCAAACACAAGGATATCTTTTATTTCATTATGACAGAAGATGAGGTTAAAACGTGATTCTTTTCAGTTTCGAATGATGACAACAAGCCAAGAAAAAATCATCATATATCAGAACAGTCGTCGATCAGCTCCGACAGTCACGTTGAAGTTTTTAACCAGGTTTTTACCTAGATTTATTGAGACTAAAATGTTTCTGAATTGTGAACAGTTATATGAATCCTGTGATTACTACAGGTTCTCTCTCTCTCTCTCTCTCTCTCTGTACCTGTAGAGAGAGAGAGAGACTACAGGTTACTAAAGCGGACTGATTTCAGCTCCTGAAGCGCCAGGAGTCCGGAGTAAGGTGCTCCACTGCCCACAGTGAACTACCTCTCTACCTTACCGGCAACACTGACGGGTCAGTAAACTGTACACTATACACACTATACACACTATACACTATACACTATACACTACACTGCCCACACACTTCTCATTCCTCTCATCTTTATCCTTGTTTGGTAGTTGCTACCTCTGCTCAGTGCTGTTGTACCTTGACTGTCTGTTTCAGATACGTGAAGCTGTGGGAGTTTGGTTACCCTCACCACCTGGCGAAGTACGGTCTCAGTGGCACTAGAGGTCGCGTAACCAGTGTCAGATTCGGTCCTCTGGGGGCTAAGTTCGGACTGTCAGGTAAACCAGACACTGCTGCCCCCCCCCCCCCCCCACCAGACACTGCACCCCCCCCCCCCCCCATCAAACACTGCTGCCCCCCCCCCTCCCACCAGACACTGCTGCCCCCCCCCCCCTCACCAGACACTTCGCCCTCCCCCCCTCACCAGACACTGCTGCCCCCCTCGCCAGACCCTGCGCCCCCCCCCCCCCCCTCACCAGACACTGCTGCCTGCCCCCCCCCCCCCCACCAAACACTGCTGCCCCCCCCCCCCCCCCCACCAAACACTGCTGCCCCCCCCCCCCCCCCCCACCAAACACTGCTGCCCCCCCCCCCCTCACCAGACACTGCTGCCCCCCCCCCCCCCCCCACCAAACACTGCTGCCCCCCCCCCCCTCACCAGACACTGCTGCCCCCCTCATCAGACACTGCTGCCCCCCCCCCCCCCCCACCAAACACTGCTGCCCCCCCCCCCCCCCCACCAAACACTACTGCTGATAGGAAAGTAGAAAAGGTCTATAATACAAATGTGCCACTCCCAGATACAAACGGAGGGATAGGGTTGTGGCACACGACAGTCAGCTCTCTGACACCGTACTGTGTACTCAACTGCCACGACAGGGCTACTAGAGACTTTGCCTTCCTGGGCTCTGCTTCTGTGTTAGCTAGTGTGGGCAGCAGCTCTAATAACAGGTATATAATACACTATACACTATACACTATACATTATACACTATACACTATTTAATATTTACACTATATAATATAGAAGTATGTAATGTAACGTGATGGAAATATTTTAAACGGGCATATCCTGTCCAAACCCAGAATGCACTACATGAAGAATTGTAGTGGCCTAATGTGCCCCCCCCCCCCTAATGTGTCCCCTCCAGGAATGTGGTGATATGGGACACACTGCTGCCCCCCCCCCCCTAATGTGTCCCCCCAGGAATGTGGTGATATGGGACACACTGCTGCCCCCCCCCCCCCCCTAATGTGTCCCCCCCCCCCCAGGAATGTGGTGATATGGGACACACTGCTGCCCCCCCCCCCCCCCCTAATGTGTCCCCCCCAGGAATGTGGTGATATGGGACACACTGCTGCCCCCCCCCCCCTAATATGTCCCCCCAGGAATGTGGTGATATGGGACACACTGCTGCCCCCCCCCCCCCCTAATGTGTCCCCTCCAGGAATGTGGTGATATGGGACACACTGCTGCCCCCCCCCCCCCCTAATGTGTCCCCCCCAGGAATGCGGTGATATGGGACACATTGCTACCCCCCCCCCTAATGTGCCCCCCCCCCCAGGAATGTGGTGATGTGGGACACACTGCTGCCCCCCCCCCCCCCTAATGTGTCCCCTCCAGGAATGCGGTGATATGGGACACACTGCTACCCCCCCCCCCCTAATGTATCCCCCCCAGGAATGTGGTGATATGGGACAAACTACTGCCCCCCCCCCTAATGTATCCCCTCCAGGAATGTGGTGATATGGGAAACACTGCTGCCCCCCCCCCCCTAATGTGTCCCCCCCAGGAATGTAGTGATATGGGACACACTGCACCCCCCCCCCCCTAATGTGTCCCCTCCAGGAATGTGGTGATATGGGACACACTGCTGCCCCCCCCCCCCCTAATGTGTCCCCCCCCCCCCCAGGAATGTGGTGATATGGGACACACTGCTGCCCCCCCCCCCCCCCCTAATATGTCCCCCCAGGAATGTGGTGATATGGGACACACTGCTGCCCCCCCCCCCCCCCCCCCTAATGTGTCCCCTCCAGGAATGTGGTGATATGGGACACACTGCTGCCCCCCCCCCCCCCCCTAATGTGTCCCCCCCAGGAATGCGGTGATATGGGACACATTGCTACCCCCCCCCCCCCCCTAATGTGCCCCCCCCCCCCAGGAATGTGGTGATGTGGGACACACTGCTGCCCCCCCCCCCTAATGTGTCCCCTCCAGGAATGCGGTGATATGGGACACACTGCTACCCCCCCCCCCCCCCTAATGTATCCCCCCAGGAATGTGGTGATATGGGACACACTACTGCCCACCCCCCCCCCCCCCCCCTAATGTGTCCCCTCCAGGAATGTGGTGATATGGGACACACTGCTGCCCCCCCCCCTAATGTGTCCCCTCCAGGAATGTGGTGATATGGGACACACTGCTGCACCCCCCCCCCCCCCCTAATGTGTCCCCTCCAGGAATGTGGTGATATGGGACACACTGCTGCCCCCCCCCCCCCCCCCTAATGTGTCCCCTTCAGGAATGTGGTGATATGGGACACACTGCTGCCCCCCACTGAGTGTGCAGTAAAGAAGTTCCAGGCCCACGAGATGGGAGCTATGGTGTGCTGCTACAGTTCCAAGAGGCAGGTTCTCATTAGCGCGGGTTCTAAAGGAGACGTCTGTATATTTGATGTTAGACAGAGGAAGCTTCAGCACATGTTCACTGGTTCGTTAAAATACACTTTTAATTTTATCTTTACGGCTTGATAGAGGGTTTAAGGTTTTCAGTCGGCGCCTTGGCCGTTGGTAGACGAATTTTAAAATAAAAACCAGGTGGTTGCATGCCGAGTAGTCACGTGAATGTGAGAAGTAATATATAACATTGTCTCCCCACAGCTCACGACAGTGCAATAAGGAGTATTTGTCTCAGCCCTGACGAAGAGCAGTACTTCACCGGCAGCTCAGAGGGGGACATCAAGGTAACATTGTGCACTACTTTCCCATTCTTAGCGTGTAATCAAGGTAACATTGTGCACTACTTTCCCATGCTTAGCGTGTAATAAATGTCCCTTGCTCCATATCTTCCTACACACTATACACTATACACTATACACTATACACTATACACTATTATACTCTACACACTATACACTATACACTATACACTATACTCTACACACTATACACTACACACTATACACTATACATTATACACTACACAGTACACACTACACACTACACACTATACACTATACACTATACACTACTCTAATACATTTCCCTATCAGAGCTGGAGTTTTGGTGGATCTGGAGGTGATCAGCACAGCTTCAGTTTTGCAGAGGGCCACAAAAGCACAAAACTCTTCTCAAACCTGCCTGGGGGATCTCTGAAAGGTATGTGGGATCTGGGTTCGGGGGTTCGGGGGTTCGGGGGCTGCTGCATCAGTAAGGTGGTTTGTACTGTGGTGATCACATATTCATACAAATGTAGTTTTACTACTTCAATACTTTCAGGAGTAGACTCGACTAACCACTTTGTTTCAGGAGTGATGAAGCTTCAGGAGTAGACTCGACTAACCACCTTGTTTCAGGAGTGATGAAGCTTCAGGTAGACTCGACTAACCACCTTGTTTCAGGAGTGATGAAGCTTCAGGTAGACTCGACTAACCAACTTGTTTCAGGAGTGATGAAGCTTCAGGAGTAGACTCGACTAACCACCTTGTTTCAGGAGTGATGAAGCTTCAGGTAGACTCGACTAACCAACTTGTTTCAGGAGTGATGAAGCTTCAGGTAGACTCGACTAACCACCTTGTTTCAGGAGTGATGAAGCTTCAGGTAGACTCGACTAACCACCTTGTTTCAGGAGTGATGAAGCTTCAGGTAGACTCGACTAACCACCTTGTTTCAGGAGTGATGAAGCTTCAGGTAGACTCGACTAACCACCTTGTTTCCTGTGGAGCTGATGGTGAAGTTAAGATACGACTAATTTCTGATATTTGATCTGACCACCAATAACATTTCTAGATTTAGTTTTCTGAACAAAAAACATTCTCGATTTTGGGATTTACGTCTCCGTGATTTGATCTTAAGAAAGAATCCTCGTTTGTGATCATTGATAAGCGTATTTTACTGGAGACTGCTAATTATATTTATAAAGTGTCTAAAGTTTGATAATTAGGAAATTGTCTTTTCCCTCTACACTCTACAGTTGCAATTTGACGAATTTCTCATGATATTTCAGCAATACTAAGGTTATGGGACTATTGTTACAATTTATTGATTGAGATCTTGATAACAAGTTATTATGTACTTTAAAATACGAGTATACAATTCAGATTTAAATTTTGTTCGGGAGTATTTCGATGATTTTGCTTTATTCTGTTCTGATTGATTCAGGCATGTTTTCATGAAAAAATTTTGATTTAATTTTAATTAATGTTCGGAAAAAAAGTTTTCTAGAGGTTTAAGAGTACATGATAATTGTTTTGAAATTAAAACTGATATAAAATTTCTGTTTTGATTGTTGAATTCTGGAATGTTATAAACAATTTGATCTTTTGAGACTGTAATAAGGAAATGTTATATTTTGTAAAACGTTCAAAATTAGAACGACACTTAACAAATTGTTAAGTTATTTAACAACGCTGTAAAATATACACAACACTTTCCCGGATATAAAACTACACTCCTCAAGTTGCACAACACTTAGCAAGTAGCATAATGCTGCTTGTAATCAATGTAAAGGTAGCTTCTCTCGCTCCAGTTTTAACATTATCAACAATCAAGAAAATGTAACTTTAACAAGAATTGCGCCCGTTTTTTCGTTGTAGCGGACGCTAGATTTCCATTCACTTCAAATACAGCTCAATCAATAATATGAACATTATGTTTTAAATAGGGAAACACTTGTGATTCAATTCAATTGCCGTAGAACTTAATTTTTATCTGTAATTTAAGAAATTGTAAGCAAAAAGTGATCTATACTCATGTTATATAATTGTACACATCAGTACACTATACTACGCATGTCACATACAAATTGGGCTTATTGCCTAATACATTAAAATACACTCGCTCCCAATCAAATTGATGGCTCACGGTTTAGATTAAAAAGTTGAGTGAATGTAACCTGCAATGAGCAGTATGATAACTCTGAAATACTAATTACTAGTTTGTGTTCCTGTTTCTGTTAACAGTATCCTAGAATCCTCATCTTGATAGCAGGAGGTACTGATTCCCATGCAGACTTTGGTTTAAACTTAAAGCCTCTCACGTGCAGAAAGTCTGGAGCATTGTGACAGATAAAATAAGCGTTAGTCATGGCGGAGGGTGATTTCAGTTGCTCTAAGGTAAGTGGTGGAGTCTTGGGCTTCTTCTTCCCTTTCTTTCCTCCCTTGTTCCCCTTCTTCCCTTTACCTTTCTTAGATTTAGCGCTTTTTGTCTTCCTGGGGTCCTTAGTTGCAGCGGTGTTTTTGTTCATGAGATCCTCCAGAGCAGCACTAGCACTTTTAGCTCCGGACCTATCCGGTGGCTTGTGGATCGTCGCCTGAAGAATACACATCATGGTACAGTTGGGCAGATCGAAAATTAAAAATGCTGGATATGCATAAGAAAACGGAGCACTATATGTGTTACCTGGGGACCAGTAATATATGTGAAGATTCAAATAACCACAGCACTAAAAAACAGGACTATTCTATAATGTATAATGTATAATGTATAATGTATAATGTACTATACGCAAGTAACTTTGTAGTCTCACCATATCTTATTTCGGTTAGTTGAGGCGATCTTCTGAGACACTACAAGGAGGCGTCTTCACAAATCTTAAACGTAAGCAGATATCCAGATAATATATCCTAATATTGAGAAACAAATGGTAAGCTATTTCCCATCCTCCGCGGTCAATTGTTTTTGCATGTTAAAATCACAGTGCGATTGAGAGCGCAATCCTTATTATATGTCTGTCGTTCAGACAGGCGGCATCTCTTATAGTATCTTATTAGTCTTACTCTTATTAGTCTTACTCTTATTAGTCTTACTCTTATTAGACTTACTCTTATTAGTCTTACTCTTATTAGTCTTACTCTTATTAGTCTTACTCTTATTAGTCTTACTCTTATTAGTCTTACTCTTATTAGTCTTACTCTTACTAGTCTTACTCTTATTAGTCTTACTCTTATTAGTCTTACTCCTATTAGCCTTACTCTTATTAGTCTTACTCTTATTAGTCTTACTCTTACTAGTCTAACTCTTATTAGTCTTACTCTTATTAGTCTTACTCTTATTAGTCTTACTCTTATTAGTCTTACTCCTATTAGCCTTACTCTTATTAGTCTTACTCTTATTAGTCTTACTCTTACTAGTCTTACTCTTATTAGTCTTACTCTTATTAGTCTTACTCCTATTAGCCTTACTCTTATTAGTCTTACTCTTATTAGTCTTACTCTTATTAGTCTTACTCTTATTAGTCTTACTCTTATTAGTCTTACTCTTATTAGTCTTACTCTTATTAGTCTTACTCTTATTAGACTTACTCTTATTAGTCTTACTCTTATTAGTCTTACTCCTATTAGCCTTACTCTTATTAGTCTTACTCTTATTAGTCTTACTCTTATTAGTCTTACTCTTATTAGTCTTACTCTTATTAGTCTTACTCTTATTAGTCTTACTCTTATTAGTCTTACTCTTATTAGTCTTACTCTTACTAGTCTTACTCTTATTAGTCTTACTCTTATTAGTCTTACTCCTATTAGTCTTACTCTTATTAGTCTTACTCCTATTAGCCTTACTCTTATTAGTCTTACTCCTATTAGCCTTACTCTTATTAGTCTTACTCTTATTAGTCTTACTCTTACTAGTCTTACTCTTATTAGTCTTACTCTTATTAGTCTTACTCTTATTAGTCTTACTCTTATTAGTCTTACTCTTACTAGTCTTACTCTTATTAGTCTTACTCTTATTAGTCTTACTCCTATTAGTCTTACTCTTATTAGTCTTACTCCTATTAGCCTTACTCTTATTAGTCTTACTCCTATTAGCCTTACTCTTATTAGTCTTACTCTTATTAGTCTTACTCTTACTAGTCTTACTCTTATTAGTCTTACTCTTATTAGTCTTACTCCTATTAGCCTTACTCTTATTAGTCTTACTCTTATTAGTCTTACTCTTACTAGTCTAACTCTTATTAGTCTTACTCTTATTAGTCTTACTCTTATTAGTCTTACTCTTATTAGTCTTACTCCTATTAGCCTTACTCTTATTAGTCTTACTCTTATTAGTCTTACTCTTACTAGTCTTACTCTTATTAGTCTTACTCTTATTAGTCTTACTCCTATTAGCCTTACTCTTATTAGTCTTACTCTTATTAGTCTTACTCCTATTAGCCTTACTCTTATTAGTCTTACTCTTATTAGTCTTACTCTTACTAGTCTTACTCTTATTAGTCTTACTCTTATTAGTCTTACTCCTATTAGCCTTACTCTTATTAGTCTTACTCTTATTAGTCTTACTCTTATTAGTCTTACTCTTATTAGTCTTACTCTTATTAGTCTTACTCTTATTAGTCTTACTCTTATTAGTCTTACTCTTATTAGACTTACTCTTATTAGTCTTACTCTTATTAGTCTTACTCCTATTAGCCTTACTCTTATTAGTCTTACTCTTATTAGTCTTACTCTTATTAGTCTTACTCTTATTAGTCTTACTCTTATTAGTCTTACTCTTATTAGTCTTACTCTTATTAGTCTTACTCTTATTAGACTTACTCTTATTAGTCTTACTCTTATTAGTCTTACTCCTATTAGCCTTACTCTTATTAGTCTTACTCTTATTAGTCTTACTCTTATTAGTCTTACTCTTATTAGACTTACTCTTATTAGACTTACTCTTATTAGTCTTACTCTTATTAGTCTTACTCCTATTAGCCTTACTCTTATTAGTCTTACTCTTATTAGTCTTACTCTTATTAGTCTTACTCTTATTAGTCTTACTCTTATTAGTCTTACTCTTATTAGTCTTACTCTTACTAGTCTTACTCTTATTAGTCTTACTCTTATTAGTCTTACTCCTATTAGCCTTACTCTTATTAGTCTTACTCTTATTAGTCTTACTCTTATTAGTCTTACTCTTATTAGTCTTACTCTTATTAGTCTTACTCTTATTAGTCTTACTCTTATTAGTCTTACTCTTATTAGACTTACTCTTATTAGTCTTACTCTTATTAGTCTTACTCCTATTAGCCTTACTCTTATTAGTCTTACTCTTATTAGTCTTACTCTTATTAGTCTTACTCTTATTAGTCTTACTCTTATTAGTCTTACTCTTATTAGTCTTACTCTTATTAGTCTTACTCTTATTAGTCTTACTCTTATTAGTCTTACTCTTATTAGTCTTACTCTTATTAGTCTTACTCTTATTAGTCTTACTCTTATTAGTCTTACTCTTATTAGTCTTACTCTTATTAGTCTTACTCTTATTAGTCTTACTCTTATTAGTCTTACTCTTATTAGTCTTACTCTTATTAGTCTTACTCTTATTAGTCTTACTCTTATTAGACTTACTCTTATTAGTCTTACTCTTATTAGTCTTACTCCTATTAGCCTTACTCTTATTAGTCTTACTCTTATTAGTCTTACTCTTATTAGTCTTACTCTTATTAGTCTTACTCTTATTAGTCTTACTCTTATTAGTCTTACTCCTATTAGCCTTACTCTTATTAGTCTTACTCTTATTAGTCTTACTCCTATTAGCCTTACTCTTATTAGTCTTACTCTTATTAGTCTTACTCTTACTAGTCTTACTCTTATTAGTCTTACTCTTATTAGTCTTACTCCTATTAGCCTTACTCTTATTAGTCTTACTCTTATTAGTCTTACTCTTATTAGTCTTACTCTTATTAGTCTTACTCTTATTAGTCTTACTCCTATTAGCCTTACTCTTATTAGTCTTACTCTTATTAGTCTTACTCTTATTAGTCTTACTCTTATTAGTCTTACTCTTATTAGTCTTACTCTTATTAGACTTACTCTTATTAGTCTTACTCTTATTAGTCTTACTCTTATTAGACTTACTCTTATTAGTCTTACTCTTATTAGTCTTACTCCTATTAGCCTTACTCTTATTAGTCTTACTCTTATTAGTCTTACTCTTATTAGTCTTACTCTTATTAGTCTTACTCTTATTAGCCTTACTCTTATTAGTCTTACTCTTATTAGTCTTACTCCTATTAGCCTTACTCTTATTAGTCTTACTCTTATTAGTCTTACTCTTATTAGTCTTACTCTTATTAGTCTTACTCTTATTAGTCTTACTCTTATTAGTCTTACTCTTATTAGTCTTACTCTTATTAGACTTACTCTTATTAGTCTTACTCTTATTAGTCTTACTCCTATTAGTCTTACTCTTATTAGTCTTACTCTTATTAGTCTTACTCTTATTAGTCTTACTCTTATTAGTCTTACTCTTATTAGTCTTACTTTTATTAGTCTTACTCTTATTAGTCTTACTCTTATTAGTCTTACTCTTATTAGTCTTACTTTTATTGTTCTTACTCTTATTAGTCTTACTCTTATTAGTCTTACTCTTATTAGTCTTACTCTTATTAGTCTTACTCTTATTAGTCTTACTCTTATTAGTCTTACTCTTATTAGTCTTACTCTTATTAGTCTTACTCTTATTGTTCTTACTCTTATTAGTCTTACTCCTATTAGTCTTACTCTTATTAGTCTTACTCTTATTAGTCTTACTCTTATTAGTCTTACTCTTATTAGTCTTACTCTTATTAGTCTTACTTTTATTGTTCTTACTCTTATTAGTCTTACATTCAATACACTCAAAACCGCACTGTAAATATCAAACCGCCGAGTCAAGACAATACATGCAGCATGAATTTAATATGTAGTTTACTCAGAACAGTAATTGAGTTTCATTCACTAAGGTAAACTACGATAAAGATTCAAAGGAAAATTGTCAAATTATTAATATTATGTGAACAAACGAAACTACCTAAATATCTGGCCAGGCTATTTAATGTTTAAGAGTCGAAATTGTGACTAACCATGCTAACTGCATCAAAAGTGTAAACTCTAGCGTCACGCATCTGTTGCTTTTTGATAACGATAAACATTGCAACTACAATTAAATGTGATGCAACATTGCAACTAAACTTAAATGACAAAAATCGGAAGCAACTAAAGCTGCATGTCATGAAATTAACGATTAAACTACCACAGCCTGTTAATTGTGCAAATGAGTTTGAATTTTTAAGTTTATGCCACACAAAAAGTTTGCATGTCACGATGGCTTCAAGTTTGCAGTCACAAGACTTACAAGCACGCCCGCAAATAAGGAACGGCACGCTCAGTTTCATGACGTCATCAGATAATAGCTTGTCAAATGCAATTCTTGATCTGTTGTCCTTTTGTGTGAATGTCGTCTAACATAATTGATAATTATGAATAGTTGATAGATGATAAACAATGTAAATCATTTGGAGCTCGACTCTGCACAGTACCGCAGTGTATCACTGGCAGTGGCTTTAAGTTTAACTACAAACTAATTCACTCGCCAGCGCGCTGTCGCGTGACTTGGGTTTTCATTACTGTGCCTAATATTTGGAACAAATATTTTACGAGTAACACCCGTTAAATGTTTTTTTGACAATGTGAACTTTTAACAAATAGCTTTTGTCCGTTCTATGTACATTTGTAAATGCTGATTTCGATTTTAATGGTAAGACGTAATTATTTAAACATTAAAGTAAAATGCACAAATCCATGATCGAACTTTTTGGAACGTTTTGTCCATTTTTAGTGGACTGACCCGGCGTGCGCTACTTCAGCGTCGTAGCACTTGCCTCATGTTGCCGATAACTTGTAGCGCGATGCGCTACTGGTCCTCACCGAGCTGGATGATGATTAATCACTCTACACTCGACTGTCACGTGACTTTTTCAACCCGTTCTCTAGCTGGCCCTGAAAGACTATTCGAAACCCTAACCCTCTAGTCTGATTCCAACCCTAACCCTAACCCAATCCATAACAAAAGCATATGCTGAAACCCTAACCCTAACGAGAAATTAGACTAACTTCCTTATACGTAGGAGGTGCACGATAAAAATAAACTTGCTCGGATTTTAAAAATTTTTGTACCACTGTTTTCTAAAGATTGTGAGAATTTCCACAATACCAAATTTGTCATACCTTTTTGGAAAGATCAGTGAGTTTCGCCTAGGTGCCATATTTGATGGTGCGCGGCTTTTGGAGCAAAAGTAGCTGTAAAAGTCGCGTAATTTGACCAAATTTGTCCAAATTTGACCATTTTTGTCGTATTATTTGGATTTATCTTCAGTTCCTTCAATGAGATCATTCTGGAAATTGGCGACGACCTTCCAATAGGGCTTTCACAACTGTCCGAAAAATTTTGTGGATATCGGAGTTGATATAGTGATCAAAATGGGGCAAAATACGCTACTTTTAGCTGTAACATAATGTTTGATGGTTGGATATGCTTTAAATTTTTCGGACACTTTCCTTGTAAGTCTTTAAGTAAGCTTACAAATTTTTGTTGCAATTGGAGGTCGGGAAGGATACTCAATATCTATTTGTTTGAAGAAAATTGTGCTGGCCGAAATTAGCGCTAAAAAACCATCCTACAGTCGGCACGCGCGGCTCACTGTCGATGGCGCACTACCTATTATACGGTCATATCACTTGATTCACGATGTCAATCCTTCGCAGCTCGGTGAGGCACAGTGGTGCACTTCGCCGATCTACCGAAGTGGTTGCGAGAAGCATTATTTGATGCGCGCGCGACCCAGTAGTGCATCGCGCTACAAAAATTTAAAAATGTTTAACTACCGCTGGTTGCGTGATGTTCAGAAATTTGTTGATTTCTGGCATTTTCAATAACGCAAATTCGTCTCCCTGCGGTTTCTTCGCGTTCGCGACTATACCCATTTGCGATGCCACTGTGTGGACGTAGCTGTGATAAATCATACATCCTCTTAAAGTACATGCTCTAACTCGGACATCGCATCCTTAACCAGTTCTGGGGACTGTTCCTGGGTAGAGTTATGAAAGCTTAAAGCTTTCGCGCCGCGCAAGCCCCCAAATATGGCTAAAAATGTGCATCGTCGTAGAATAACTTTGCATAGGCAGTGCGTGGTGTCATCAATATGGTAGTTAATTTTGATTTTCGGCCTCCGGCTTGATAGCCTAGTTGGCTGAGAGGGCGACTGGCTCAGTGGCACTGAGTTCGACTCCCTGTCTTGGCCAAAATTAAATTTTTATTGAAACAAGTTATTTCAACAGAAAAGTCCTAAAGAAAACACGTAAAAATGTGAAAACAGAATACTTCTCTGTATCTGGTAAATTTGCAGAAAATAGCCGGAATAGTAAAAAGACCTGGGAAGTAATTAATTGTATAAGACTAAGAGGAAAACGGCGGCGTGAAACAAAGCCGGATCTGTTATAGCAGATATTAGCAGTTTTTATATGATTTGGCCCAGTTTTGCACTGGGCCGAAACTGATTTGCTAACAGTTGTTTCTATCTGGTTTAAAAATTGAGAGTCTGCTGGGTGAAGATCAGTTGCCAATACTTGATAGCTTTGATAGCTTTATTATTCTGCCTGTCACGGTGGGAAAGAAAGGTCAAGGCTGCTCATTTCTAGACGTCCTTTATCTATACCGTCCATATCTGAAACAGATTCTCAGATAAGGATAAGGAACTAAATAACGATAAGGTGAACGGTTGATATTAGAGTTAAAATCTGAGTGTTGGGAGAAAAATCTAGTAAATCTCAAACTGTTAAACTCTACTTACTTTTGATCCACCAGTTCTCATAATTTTTAAGCCGTAAAGCAGCAGACACGAGTCTAGAGGAATTGTTGAAACGCCAAGATCCGCTTTTACTTTTCAGTTCTCTGATCTTAATTTTCAATGTGTGAAGCAGCTGGCGTGAGTTTCGTGGAAATCTTTCATAATCCCAGCCTCCAGGAGTTGCTTTTATTTTGGGTCCACTTAGAGCTTTAGAGGTTATCGATATTCCAGATTATGTCTGCTTTGTTGTCTGTACTTCCGGGGGTTGTATAAACCTGAGAAATTGAACAGTTTAATACCAGAGAGAATGCTGAAGACTTCGAAAGTTCTGCCAAAATGTTTATTTTCTATACACAAATCCGAATTTTTCTCTTTAGTGGCGATTTTAGACAAAATTTACCTTCTTTCGGACTAAACTTTGAAACTGAATTGAAGTTTAAACGATTACCTCTAGAATGATATTAATGAATTAGTAAATTTATCATCAGAAGTCAAGTTATGGTCGATTTTGGAAGCTTGGATACGCTAAAATAATTAATTACATCAATATGATATCAATTATTGCGCGCGGCTCGGTTATATTGCGCGTGGTTGCTAGGCGCCAGCGGAAGAATTGCTTACAATTTTTTTTCCGTTCGGCAGAAAGATAATTGTGACTGACAAACATGTAGAAAACTCTCCCAGAACTTCTAGTATATTCTTTAGGGCGGGAAATACATCGTATGCAATGTCTGTGATTATCCCGCCAACTCCGAATTTCTTCCTAAATATATCACAAAGGCGCGTTCACAATTTTTGCGCATTATAAACCGCTTCATTTTAGGTCGTTCTATAGTTAATCTCACTACTTCAAAAGGGTAAAACTGGTTAGAGAAGAACTCAACCTTTGGTTTCTTCACAAGTAGAAGCACTAAGAAAACACCCAAGGAGCAGGGGAGGAGGACGAAGCTATGATAGATTGAAGGTTATCGATAGGACCAACAGATCTGTGACAGTTGAGTTGGTGGCAGATGATATTGGATTCATTGGTGAGGTGAGATGAGGAACCGGTCGAAAGTCTTGCTTGGTGGATGGCGGTATCGAGGGCTTTGAGGAACTTATCAGAATTCCCGGGTCCTTGAGATTGTGGGCTCTCGTTGGCCAAGGGAGGATGCGTAGCCGTTGTAGAGGGGGTGGGTACTGGAAGGTCTTCCATTGGTGCGTCCATAATGTTGGGAGATTTGCAAACAGCGAGTGAGCCAGTATGTATTTCATTCTCATACAGTGGTGTGCCGTCAATATCCCAGTTGTTGCAGACGTCCGAGGGAGAGGAAACAGTATTGGACTGTAAAAGCTGGTGTGGTTGGGTAGTTATAACTGACTCATCTTGAGAGTTCATGGGCATACCGTCTAGGTGCCAAAATGAGGAAAAAGAATGTTCGAGTGGAATACCATCCAGTGTATCCATAGCTGGAGATAAAATAACTCTGTACAGAGTCGTGAGTATAAAATAAAGATAAGATGGTAAAACTGAAAACCGTAAATTCTATGAAACAATTAAAGCTAACAGTTGCAACCGAATTAGGTGCAAGTATTAAAACAAATTGGAAACAGAGGAACAGAGAGGAGGTAACTCGTGATGTAGCCACGTGTTAAGAATTACTCGTGAAGGAGGAGGTTGAAATAAAGTAGCAGGAAATTATCACGATGCTGGGTAAACGGACCGTGAAAACAAGGAGAGAAGGGGTACTAATGGCTTAAACACTAATTGCAGACTAATGGGAGTGAAGTGCTAGGCACAGAGTAAGATAAAGTGAGCTGAAGCTATTAACTTGTAAACATGTCGCAATAGAGCTTGAAACATATCTCAACAAAGAGGGACTAATCACTAAAAGTCGAGAATAATTGAAGTAGCAGGTAATTAACATTATGCTGGGTAAATGGACCGTGAAAACAAAGAGAGAAGGGATACTAATGGCTTAAACAGTAATGGCTTAATCACTAAATGGAGTACAGAGTAAGGGAGAAAAAGACTACTAGAAGATAAAAGTGGGCTGAAGCTAATAACTGGTTAACAAGTCGTTATAGAGAAAGAAACATATCACAACAAAGAGGGACAAATTGTCGAGAAAAATTAAAATAACCGGTAAATATCACTAAGCTGGGTAACTCGTGATGAAGCCACGTGTTAAGAATTCCTCGTGTGGGAGGAGGTAGAATAAATAAAGTAGCAGGTAATTATCACGATGCTGGGTAAACGGACAGTGAAAACAAGGAGAGAAGGGTTACTAATGGCTTAAACATTAAATGCAGACTAATGAGAGTGAAGTGCTAGGCACAGAGTAAGGGGGAATTAAACTACTAAAGATAATAAGTGGGCTGAAGCTATTAACTTGTAAACATGTCGCAATGGAGATTGAAACATAACACTAAAAGAGTGTGCACAATATGAAATCCGAATATATTGAAGATTGGGGAAAACAGTAATAGTGGGATAATTATAGTGGTAAAGTGTTTACTAGAGAGTGGTCCACATGGAGGTTACGTGGGAGAGGTTGAGGTGCATGTTGTGATGGGTGGTCAAGAGCTGTCCAGCCAATTTTATATGGCCTAAAATATACACACAAAGCCTACAATAGTAGTTAAGGAGCCACCACACTGCACTTGGCCAGGCAAGTGAACGAGGAGAGATCAGTGCAGTATGGCAACATCAAAAGAACGTTTTGAATTACAGTTCAATGGTAGGCAGGGCTAGGTAGAAGCACTTTAATCACTGAGGAGAAGTCCGAAAGAAGGCCTAATTTAACATTGTTTTTAATGTGCACCGTAGTTGTGCTGTACTTCGATTGAATGTTTACACTGTGCAAAGTGAAGACATCTTCCAGTGCCTAGCTGTAAAAAATAAAATGCTACGTGCGCGGGAGTGTGTGAACAAATATGCGGCACTAACTAGCGAGCATGAGCAAGGGAAACAGGACTCAGTCGAAAAGGAGCCCTACACTAGTGTTTGTGACACTAAGGGGAGCGCAAGCGAGAGTAAAGAGGGCTAAAATTTAAGCAAGCAAATGCGCGAGCAATAAGACTCTGCCGACTTAAGTTGTAAAATAAGTGACCAAAAACAGAATCTAAATTAGAAGTATATCCATAATATGTTAAAACTTAAAGGAGTAGCAGGTTACCAGCTGATGAGAAGGGTGAAAATGTTAGATGACAGATAAAAGAAAGGTGATGGCATGAGTAAAGTCATAATAAAACGTCAGCGCAGAGAAATAGTAGATGAATTTATAAAGTAGTATCTCTTACAATTACCAACAAGCAGAGGGTACCATTCAGAGGTTAATACAATTATAACGTGCTGGTGCAGTGGCAGCTGGGTAAAGTTGGCATGGAGGTAGCAGAAAGTAACTACTAGAAACATCTACTAGAAAGTAGACGTAGAATTTACGTCTACTTTCCAGACTAAAAAGTGCATGTTAGGATGGAAAAAATAATCAGGGAACTTGATTTGCGAACCTAACCATGGAAATAATGGAAATATTACAATGAGTCGGAGTGTTCCAAGGATATTGATGTATACACTATACATACATTGTAATAACTATAGAATGTTCTGTACTCTCTGCACTATATAAGGTCACAACAATTGTGACGTCAAAATCGCATCTGTTTTCTTTTGTTTCAAATCTAAGTTTCATGAGACTAATCTAATTTAGACCTTCGAAGGTAATGACTTGAACTTGTGTGTTCACTGTGTAAAGAACACACACAAAAAGTAAGAGTTTAACAAACTATTTGAAGTGTAGACAAACCTCTGGTTTCTCTCCCAAGCCAAGAGTTCGGCCGAGTGTCTCAGTCCACCAAACCATGAGGTAGGAGAATACTGCGATCCACAGGATGGACATGATGAAGGTCACTGGGAAGAACATCTTCCATTTCTGAAACATCAGGTTATTAGCTTGCCAGATAATACCTGGTTTAGATCACAGCTGTGTTGAAAGCATTAAAAGGGTTTACTTTCAACACTTCTATGATAATGTTGATTCCTACATTAGAATTTACTGCTTACAAATTGAGAAGCAGAATATTGAGGATATACTCATTTTGGCAGTACTAAAATCTAAAATTAGTTGACAAGAAAAGTTTTACCGTAGATTCTGCTACGGATTGGAGTTCACTTGCCATAATAGCCAGTACTATAGAGAGCACAACAAGCTATAATGAGATGGTTAGATACATTTGAGGATTGCTGCACTATATAGGGACAGGACTATATAGTGACAAGCACTTTATAGTGACATGTGAGACGGCTGCAAATTTACAAAATTTTGTACATCCATTCAGACTTATTAAACAATGATCTACATTCTACATAAATGATAGAATAATATCTCTCTGGATCATTATTAACCACCATTTTACAGCACTTCATTATTATCAGTACAAATGAATAATGAAGCTCGTATCATGACATGTGAGTATACAGATAGATAAACCACCTAAATAGCCATATTTTAATAAATAAATAAATAAATTCTAACATTTATTACACGCTTCGACATTAAAATATACCCAACAAAGATGTACATTTAAGTCATTCAAGCGATGATTAAGCTCTGAAATTCAACTCAGTACGTCAGAATAATTGTTAAGGGAGGATACGTATCAAATGTAGATACGTGGTTTCATATATGTGGGTAATTGCACGTTTCAAACCAATTTAACCGCTGTTTTCAGCACATATATGGTATCTTTTAAACCACATTTGGTACACGAATTACAATAAATTGAATAAAATATGTGACTAATTGTCAACAAATGGTCGGTTTTGATCAATATTAACCACCAATTATCGACACCTTAGAACTTACAGTAATAATCAATTATGAAGCTGCTATGACTATGGTATAGCAATCAAATAAACCACTAAAACAGCCACTTACGCCATAATAATTAATACCAGGCTACATTAGGCTCAAAATTGAGTTTGTCAGTTTAAGATGCATTTAAAATGATCTGATAGGAAAACTGGCTAAACTGTTAAAATACAAATTATCCAATATTCATGATATCATGTGCCAACTTAGGTAAGGTTTAAAAGCAAATTTTTATGAAAGTAGTAATTACAGAGCTTTTCATAGATCAAAGTATAAACGAACTTACGAATTATAATTATAAGTTATAAGTGATTAGTAAATACCTCATGATTATCAAATAATCTGAAGAGTAAGGGTTATCTGCTGATGCATGTTATCTGCTGATGAATGCCAAGGTTGTCTTTCACCGTGTGAAGTGCCGGTCGTGTGTTCATTCTAATTGAAGATTTATTGGTTTTACAATAAATTAAAAGCACTTAAGTTTTCTTGCCACATTGATCTTTATTAAATGTAGTTAACAAGGGCATGAATGAATTTGAATCCTAAAATAGAGTTGATCCCGTAAATTAAATCAACACCAAACGGTTCTCAACTTTTCATAACCAGCTGCACACATACAGCTGAAGATAATAAAATTACGGAACAGAGCCATTTGTACACGTTAGTAGAATTACAACTTTATTGCAATGAGTAACAGTCTTTCGACAGACTATTACTTTGTTTTACTAATGAAATATAAATTAAAATCCGTTTTATCTGGATTTTAGTCATTGAACATTAATGAGCAAAAAACGATCAAAAAAGGGAAGCTGCAAATAATTTAAATTTGACATTTCAAAACACATGAAGTTCCTGGCAATAGTTTAAATTTGCACCATCTAAAGTCATTCCAAAGGCCCTGTAGCAATACTTGAAAATTTTCATAAAACCGATATTTAACTAACGTTTTGACTTGTCAAGTCAATAGAAATAATTATTGAAAAACAACAAACGCAGTTAAAATGAATTTAATCAAATTTGTGTTTGACAAAACAGGTTTTAAATTCGTTGCTACTGTACAGCTAGCAGCACACTTTTGTAAATTCCAAGCCGAAGTTATGCGGAGGATATTCCAAGATTGCAGATTGTGAAATCAAGCAAAACATGCGCGCATCTGAAAATAAAAAACCAATCTTGGACTAAAATTTAACGAATGATACTTGGAGTTAATATCAAATCATTATTTCACAAAAGTTATGTTCAATACTAATTATAAGAAAAATGAACAGGGCAGAATTTGTGATATTTAAAAAGTTGTTATAATGACAAAATGCCGTACAAATCGGCGCGTGGCTTTGTCATTTGTGTTTTCAGTTTACAGTTTAGTGATTTGTAACTTAAATATGATTGCAGAAAAAACATTTGTTACTTCCTTTTTGATGCAAAACCAGAATTATATATTTATATAATTCTAATGTAATGTAAGAATGATACTTGTGTCATATATTTAAAATCATATTCAATATTACATATTACTACCATATTTATCAACACACAACATTGAATTGAACGCGTATTTGTCAATAACAAATAACAAAAACTATTATTACTCATCAATTTAAAACATAAATTGGCTCATTATACAAAAAAATCTTACAACACAATATAATATTAAATTGTAAGTGTTGACACATAATTGATCGCTATGCTATTCATATTTCGCGCGGCGCAAGTGACCGTCCGTTAAACACACTCGATGCTTATAATGTATGTGTCTAATGCATCATTAATGGAAGGCGCGCCGGTGAAATTTTTGCGCGCGAATTTACGATTTAAACGAAAAGAAACTGCAGGGCTTTTAAAAAACGCAAAATACGCCGGTTCTTTAAAAAATGCAACAAAACGATTTTCCCAACCCTGTAAATTGTCGGGGGGTTAATGGTCGAGGGTTAATGGTCGGGGGTCAATTGTCGGGGGGTCAATTGTCGGGGGTCAATTGTCGTACTAAGCCTTAGATTTCGCGACAATTGACCCCAGTTTCAAATCTAATCACGTCACTCTGCGCGGATTTGTGATTTGTTTCACTTCTCCCTCCCCTATTATAATATTAATAATATTATAGTATTCGTGAAAAGCTGGTAGCGAGCCATAAACCGGCAAGTTGGGTAAAATCAGCTTTGATTATGACACCATCAGTGATCAGTCAGCTGACCCTAGCATGTAAAAAAAAGCAAGGCATTAGCTCGACCTCCGAGGCAAGGAATCCGTGTGAACCCTGGTTGTTATCAGGGTTAGACAGGCAAAGATGGTTTTGTCTGTTAAAGTGGGTAATCACTCTCTGACATCAGAGTCATAAATCACACCGCAGGTTTTGCCTTTTTTTCCTGTTTTTTTTTCCTTTGCTTCCTATTCTTATAATAGTCGAAATGAAAAATTCAATATTGTTTTTTGCAGGAAGTGATATTGGGGTATGTCCAGCTGATGTAAACAAATGTTGTGATTATCCAGCATCAGAAGATAAGGATGAAGAAGTAGAAGATGATGAGGTTGGAAAAAATAGGAATAAGAGAAAGAAGAAACGGGATATAGACTATAAAGGAGATTGGCGGGAGTATTCAAACAGAATAACTTCCTTCATTAATGATCCCGAGTTTGACGTGATGGACGATGATGTCCGTGCATTGTTTTTAAAGAAACTGTCAGATACCGCCAATGATATGGCAACCTATATTTACAAAAGAAACTGATACGTCTTCTGTTTGATAATATATTACTTTAAAAGTCGAGCACTCATTTTCTTAGATATTAAGCCAACCAATAACCATGTAATGATATTCTACCGCACTCACGGTTAACTTTTTATCTCAGTATTTTAAATCTCTTTCTCGGTATTTAATCTTCGTATCCCTTAGTGATTAGTGTTCATCTCAGTGTTCATCTCAGTGTTCATCTCAGTGTTCATTCTTTGTCTCACAAATTAATCTCTGTCTCACTGTTCAATCTCCGTCCCACTGTTCATTCTCTATCTCAGAGTTAATTATCTGTCTCACTGTTCAATCTCTGTTTCAGTGTTCATTCTCCGTCTTAGTATTCAATCTTCGTCTCATTTTTCACTCTCTTTCCAAGTGTTACAGTGAGAAGGATATTGTTGTAAATTTTGGATTTTGTTACAAACTATGGACAGTGAATCTGTGAGGAGGTGTTCTAGCAAAATTGTAAACGAAATTGTAAGAATGTCGCGCAAATGTCGCCCGAAAACTGTCCGTAAAAGGCCTTGTCCGGAGAAGGCCTAGTTCACACAGAGACATGTAAAATGGTAACGGAGTTAACGGAGATGTTTGTTTTGTTAAATTAATATATGGTTCCTGCAAACCAGATACATATTACATAACAGCTGAAATCAAATGATTACACAATACACATATTGATTTAAAATGTACCTTTAACAGACAGGTTTCATTAAATTTCTTGTTTCATTGAGTAAGATTCCTGATCTTTTGGCAGGGCCCCTCCTCATTTAACCTTCAATCACGGTACCACCAAAGCAAATTTTACATCAGAAAACAATGGCATTTACCTTTTCAATTGATACTCATTATTATTGTTGTACTATAATTTAGTACCTAGTATCCCCTTTCTCGTTTCTGTGATGGCAGCTGAATAATTTAAAAAGTTTGTTCTATTCAGCCGTACAATTCCCTTGCATGTTCAATCAGATAACTTAATCTTTAGGTTTATAAGCACCATGACCACACGACGAGCTTTACACTGGGTGTTTAAAATTGGAGATCGAGCCCAATCTGTTAACTTTCTGAGACATCTAGGAATGAAAGTTCTCCGGCATGAGGAGTTCAAAGAAGGTAGCTATATACTCTTGTCTTATTCAATCGTTTATAGTTATCTATAATTTTATTGACGACCATAAGTTTTTTCTTTGAGATTTGGCTTTACTTTTGTTCCAATCACAGACAATAATTTAATCAGGTTGTGATGCATCGTGCAATGGACCTTATCAGGGTCGTTGGAGTAAGACAATGATAGGATATGGGGTGGAGGACACCAACTTTGTGCTTGAACTGACATATAACTATGGGATTGACAAGTACGAGTTAGGAAACGATTTCCTAGGTTTGCACATCGAGTCAAGTGATGTTTTTGCTGCAGCTAAGGAAGAGGTCACTGGTGATGGCAGTAAGATGTTAGAGTCTCCTGATGGATATTTGTTTCATTTGGAAAACAAGAATGCTTCATCTGGGGGTCCAGTTGCAGGAATTACTCTTGCTTCAACTAACATACAAGCTACTGTCAGTTTCTGGAACGAAATACTCGGTTTGACTGTGTTTGATCAATCTGAAACCAGTGCTACTCTTGGAATTGATCAATCGCAAGCCTATGTTAAATTTGTGCACCAGGCAGAGATCAATCATGCTAAGGCATATGGACGTGTTGCTTTTTCTGTACCTATTTCTGTGCTTGCTGATGCTGAACAACTTGCTATTGAGAAAGGGTTCACAATTTTAACACCATTTGTAACACTCAAAACTGATGGTAAAGCAGATGTCTCAGTTGTTATCTTTAGTGATCCTGATGGGTATGAGATATGTTTTGTTGGAGATGAGGGTTTCAGAGATTTGTCTCAGTTTGACCCTGAGGGCAGCAATCTTCTCGACAAAGCAATCGACGAGGACAAAAGCAATGAGTGGTTTGCCAAGAAAGGAAAATCAAAATCATCTGCATAGAAAAAATGGAAATAACATTATAGCTGTATTTATATATATGTCATAAAATAAAACTCATATGAGCTTAAATCGGTAGACTGTGTTTATAAAATTACTCAACTTTGATTATTTTAATCCAAAATTCTTTTTGTTCCTTTCAATGTTTAAATTGTTTTGATTTTTTATAACTTTCTGATTGATACAGTGTTTCAATATCAATTGAGTTACCGCAACAATGAATTCTAAATACTGGGTCATGTGTACTTATAAATTCATAGCTTTAACTGGCTGCCCATTATTGTCTCATAAAATTTCACCCATAATCTGATAACATTAAACTATCATAAACATTTAGTCATGGAAGCTGATGACAACGAATATTACCATGACAACGCTTACTATGAAGACAGTTACAATGATGATAGTTACCATGACAACGTATTGGAGTCCACTCTACACTACTGTGTATTACCGGTTGTAGGACAGGTTACTGCTGTCTTTCTCAAACTCTTTGGTCTTGCTGCAATCGTGAGTATATCAGATTATACTTATTCATCAGCTCAAAATATTCATGGTATGAAACTAAAATTTTGAAGTCAGTTGTGGAGAAAGTCATCAGGTAAAGCTAAATTGTTAAGATAAACAGTGTTCAATATCAATTAGCTTGAACTACTAGAATTGACCCTAAATTTTCCAACAATTTATTCGCCAATTAAGGTTTACTACTATTTGTCGCAGGTAAGCATATTAAATCAGCTACAATTGGAGAAGTTGACTTTCATCGTAGACACGCTGCTCGGGATTCTGTGTGCTTTTCTGTTCTATCAGTCCAGTACCCTCTTTATAGGTAGTAACTTATTATACAGTTTTGACTTACTATCATGTCTTCAGTTTAAATTAAATGCTTTTATCGATAATAAACCTTAAAACTTCGAAATTGACGATCGTGCAATTGCCATCAGAATTCAGATGGACCTTATTGATTAGAAATTAAGTAGCGAGTAAACATTAAGTAAACATTAAGTATACGTTAAGACATCAAGTAGTTTAGACAGATCTACA